TCATGCATCGCGTCCCATTCCCCCTTTATCATCTTTACCTCCGGCCCCGCGTCTCAGAGGCCTCTAGGAAGGACGGATCTTTAATACTGCCTCCTGCGTCGTCTAGTCCCGCGACTGGTCTGTTGTAGCTAAAGTTGACAAACTGGTCCTGCATCGTCTTTGACAGCACAAAGTCGTCGGGCACGGAGTCTTGGGCGGGCTCGTTTTTGAAGATTTCGTCGACGTTGCTGACGTCGGAAGCGCTGGCCTGAAATTACACAACCTGTTGTCAGAAGAGTGTCGGGAAGAGCAACCTGGCCCCGGGGCCACACGGGGCCCTCATGGCGGTCAGTTTGGGGAGAGGCTTACCACGTTGGGTTTGAACGTCGGTTCGTATTTGCGCTGCAGGAGCTTCTTCCAGTCGATGCCGTGGAAGAAGGGGTGCGACTTGATCTCGGTAGAGCCGTTGACTCCTAATCTCTTGTTCGGATTGCGATCCAGAAGCTTGGTCAGGAGGTCTCTGGCGGCGGGGGGCACGACATCGTAGCCGGGGAAGTTGAGAGGCGCCGTTAAAATCTTGCGATACATTTCGTTTGTGTTCTCGTCATAAAACGGCGGCAGACCCGTTAGCATTTCGTACAGCAGCACGCCCAGCGTCCACCAGTCGACTGTCTTGCCGTAGCCCTCGCCCTTGAGCAGCTCTGGTGCTAGGTATTCAGGGGTGCCGACAAAGGTATTCGTGGAATCCTCATCCTTCATCTCCAACTTGCAGAGCCCAAAGTCGCAAAGAGCAATGTGGCCCTGGTAATCGAGGAGGATGTTTTCAGGCTTCAGATCTCGATAGATGACATTGAAGCCGTGCAGACACTCAAGCGCGCAGAGCAGCTCTGCGGTGTAGAAGCGGGAGCGGTTAATGTCGAAGCGCCCTTCTTTAGATAGATGGAAGAATAACTCTCCGCCGTTGACAAAGGCCAGCACAAAGTAGAGCTTTTCGGGAGACTGGAAACTGAACTTTAACGGAACAATGAACGGGTTGTTGATTTGGGCGAGCACGGAACGTTCCGCGAGCGTGTGCGTTACTTCGGACCGAGTGATGATCTTGGCCTTTCGGATCGTCTTGATGGCGTAGATGCGGCCGGTGTCCTTCTTCCGAACCTGCATGACCTTTCCAAAGCTACCCTTGCCAACCAGAGTGAGGAGGTCAAAATCGTCGATGGTGAGCTTGCCGACGCGGTTTTCGACGAAATTGACGCCGATCTGAAGCTTGCCTGTTCCATTTTGTAAGTCAAACCAGCCCAGGCCGCTGAAACCCTGGCCCTGCTGCGGTTTCTCGGCCTGGCCCTTTTTGCCCGTCTGCGCGGCATCGGGAACGGCTTCAAATTTGGGATTCACGCGGACGGCGCCCAAGAAGATGTCCTGAGTTCTACCTGTTCCCGCAGCGGCCGCTGGGTTTCTCATGAAGAGCTGGACGGTCAATTCGCCCACACGGGACACGTCAAACTTGTACTGGGTGTTGGAACCAGCCCAGACAGGGTTCTCGGGGTTTCCATCAACAGAGTTGATGAAGACTTGGTTCTTGTCAAAGTCCACCAGGGCGTACGGCATGTACTTGCCCGACACGCGGCCGTGGTTGGTCGGGATGCCCTTGAAGCCCGACCCGGAGGACGTCTGCGGCCTGTCGAGGCTGCCAGAAAAGGCAGAGGCGTTTCGAGTAGAGGCCCCCGTGCGCGTAGAGCCACTCAGCGCATCTCCGGCAGAGTGGGCGCCGGTCGAGTGGCCCGCTGACAGGGCATCTTGGTATTCTTCGGGGAGGGAGAGGCCGCGGGCTTCGTAGAGGGTGAGGACGAGGATGCCAGGTTTCGCGGGCTTTATTACGGGCGCCTGTGTGAGGTCCTCTATTGGAGGGGAGAGAGGAAATACAAAGTTAGAGAACAAGATAGAAGAAAGGGGAGGAATATGTCTGATGGACGTACCGGAGGCTCTCGCATCAGCGATGCTGTTGACGTCAGACGGGGTGGTGGCACCACTCTTATCCTTGGCCTTGTCTTTGTCTTTGGTGGAGGGCGTTGACGATTTCGAGAAGCCCAGGTGGGTTTCTTTGAGCTCTGAATAGTGTCATCCGTCAGCAGGAGGCAAGGAAGGGGAAATGTCCACGGAGACATTATGTGGATTGGTGGATCAGCTGGCTGGAGGCCGAGGCTGGGGGGGTAAGGCTGAGGATATTCAGGGTTGGGCGTCCAGCCACCAGGCCATGGAAGTCTTTGCGCACAGACAAAGCAAGCAGACATGCTGGCAGATTTTGACCGATTGAACATGATGGCGATGAGCAGAACGACAGAGACGGGCATGTCGATATCCAAAGACGCAGCAAAGCCCGATCGGGATGGGGGATGCAGCGCAAATCGCCAAACTCACTTTTGGTCAGGTTCCAAGACATGGTTTGCACCAGCGCAGCGAGGCTGGACGATCCAGCAGGGTGACGGAGTCTGGAGTCGTCCGAATGCGAGCTGCGATTATTGGATTCGAACCTGGGATACTGGAAATACAGGCCTGGACTTGTGGTTCGAACTCGGGATTTGGAATAAATCGGGGGGTGGGCGCAGGATGTCGAGGTTTCGGGTTCGGGATGGGGGTTTGTTGTATTGGAATCAAAATGGAATTGGCTTTCGGACCAGGTTTGATTTGATGCAATCAATGTGACGGCGGCCACTGACGCGGGAGCGGGGGGGGGAGCGGCACAGGGGTTATGGGCGGGGGTTGGAGGCCTGTGAGGCGCTGGAGGGGCTGGAGGAGAGCGCTGTGGCGGCGTGTGTGCAGCTGGAGTCCAATTTCCAGCGGGCGTTGGCTGCTGTGTGTTTGATTTTGATGAGTGGCTCAGCGTTGAATTTCATTTGATCAAGTTCAATTGCAGTGAGACTGGGCGGATTGGAGCAGGTGAATTGACTTTACAGATGATGCGCAACAGTGTTTGAGTACAGTATGAATCAAGACTCGTACTATCACCATTTCTCAAATACAGAGTCAAAAGAGTCATGTGTAGATACATGTAGTTGCACTGCCCCGGGATGACGATGTCGCTCAAAGCCAACAACGAAATGGAATTTGATCAACTGCTCCGTCATTCATCCAACAGCAGCACCAGCTTTACTTAGAGGTACCCTTGTTCACTGCTCATGCAGGGCAACCCTCACGCCCCGAATCGCCAGCTCCAGTTCCAGCTCCAGCATCAAAAGCCGTGCCCCCAAAATACGGGGTGCATAATCAATCAAGCCTCTACATACCTAGGTAATCTACAAGGTGCAAAGCAGCCCTGAGTGATCCTTAGGAATCCATCCCCCCTGAACAATCCCCCACATCATCTTCAAACCATCCACTAAACAGTTTACGAAGAACCGCGGCCCAGGATTTGTCATTGCCGTTCTCACACTCTCTCGCCTGTTTTCTCGCTAGTACCAAGTTGGGCCAAGGGGTCCAATTGCGTCATGCACGCGATGCCGCGCTGATTATCAGAAACTGGAGCCGAATCGATGGAATATTTTTTTCTTAGCCCCTCATTGGGGAACTTTTTTTGTTCCATCTTGTGTGTCTAGACTCGATCGAACCTTTTTTATTGTAATTATTTTTACTCTTTCTTTTTCTTTTTCTTTTCCTTGTTTGTAGGAGAATTATATAACATAACGGTTACAACTCTTCACCACTATTTAAACCCAAGCCACTTCCCTCAACCAACCAAACTCACAACCCCTCCCTCCAACAAACCAACTTCCACACAACACTCACAACTCACAACTTACACAACCAACACCATAACCCTCCATACACAACCAATCGCCCATCATGATCTTCAACAACATCTTCTCCCGCCTCGCCCGCCCCTTCACCGCCGCCTCCCGCCTCTCCGTCGCCCCGGAATCCTCCTCCTCCGCAGCCACCCCCGCCATCCCCGACGGCGCCCAGCGCTGCACCGTCGCCGCCGGCTGCTACTGGGGCACCGAGCACCTCTACCGCAGACACTTTTCCGGCAAGGGCCTGATTGACGCAAAAGTCGGCTTCATCGGCGGCGACCTGGACAACCCGACGTACCGCGCCGTCTGCGGCGGAAAGACTGGCCGTAAGTTATAAGCAACCCCCTCATCACATACCTACCTATATAACACAAAACAAATGATGCACCTTTCAAGCTCAAATAAAGCTCAAATAAATACTCACACGTATAAGCAGACGCCGAGGCCGCAGAGCTCATCTTCGACCCAACCCAAGTCTCCTACCGCCAGCTCCTCGAGTTCTTCTACCGCATGCACGATCCCACCACCCTCAACGCCCAGGGCCCGGACACCGGCCCCCAGTACCGCTCCGCCATCTACTTCCACTCCCCCGAGCAGGAGGCAATCGCCCGCGAAGTCACCGAAAAGGCAAACGCCCAGTGGTGGGGCGGCAAGATTGTCACCGAGATTGCTCCCGCCGGACAGTGGTGGACGGCGGAGGAGTATCACCAGCTGTATCTTGAGAAGAACCCTTCGGGGTATGAGTGCCCGAGCCACTTCTTGAGGCCGTTCAAGGACCTTGAGTAAAGTTCAACGAGATTGGAGACGGACAAGGGGGAATCATGGACGAGATGAAGGAAACTTGTTCCGTGAGCGATATGTAATTCAACATTCTTCACAGTATACCCATTTGTATATATATTCGCACATTCACAGCGCACTCATTGCAAGTTCAACCAAGGGGTCATGTAGTTTTAATCAATGCACTACAACAATTGAATCTTTTTTTTTTTCTTTTTTTTCTTTTCAAAATTTATTATTTTTTTTTGTACATATGTTTTTCTCTTTTGATTCCTTCACGTATTGATACAATGGAAGCGTGCTGTGCTCCCGTAGAAGAGTATTTCATATATAATTCATCCAATGAGCGGAGTTTATAACCTCTCGCAACCAATTTTTTTTTCTTAAAGAGAAAAGAAAAAATTCAACCCATAAAACACCCCCGCAATCAATAGTCTGTCTCCGCGCTCCATTCCTCTATTTCCTCCTGTTCTGGTTCAGCATCAGAATCTGCACCATGCGGATGAAAATGTTCAAAAAGTCCAGCTCCAGCGAGATGCTCTCGTTGACGGGATCCCGCTTCATCACTCCGGCTTGCGCAAGGCGAGCGTGGTGCAGCACCTTTTGCACATCGTACAGCGTGAAGCCGCCAAAGACGGCGAGACCTCCGTACAGCCAGATGTTCTCAGTAAAGGCCAGTGTTCGGACGGCAGTGGCGGGGATGACAAGAGGCGCAAGACCAGAGGCGGCGACGATGGCGGCACCGGCCAGCAGAGGTCCGCCGATGTACAGGTACTTCTCCTGCTTGGCGGTGGCACCGACGACGGACAGCGAACCCATCATGGCAATGGTGTAGAGACCGGCACGGGCGAGCAGAGGACCAGGGACAAAGGCCAGCAGAGGGGCGACAAAGGCGGCCTGGGTGGCGTTGAAAGCAGTCCAGAGAGCGTACTTGGGAAGGTAGCTATTGAATGCGCATGTTAGTAAACCGCACCATTTCCTTCTGTAAAAGCGCAGCAAGGGTGAATACTCACTTGTCGGGGCTAATGGATCGAGTTCCAATCATCGTAGCAAAGCTGAGCGCCAATCCTCCCAGGCCAACAACCCACGGGTTCGTCACCATCAGTCGGTACACAAACCCAGTCTGCACCATCTGTCTCGCCGTCAAACCGATGATGCCAACGCCGAGGCCCGTGTGCAAAAATGTGTTATTCAGATACTCCCGCTCAAACAGCGGCATTCCCCCATCCTCTCTCGTCTCGCGGTTGAAGACGGCATTGATGGCAACCAGCGTACCGCCAAAGATGGCGCCTCCGACGAGCAGCTTTCGCAGCCCTGTTCCGCTCGCCGCCGCCTGGTGTCGGGTAGAGGCATCCTGGTAGTATGATCGCGCGAAGCCATGGCGAGTCGTCGCTGATGCCACGCGAGAGGTGAAGAAGGCGCTGGCGGGCTTGGGGGTCTGGTGGTGGAAGCTTCGCATCGACGTCCGGAACGCAGATTTCGAGAGTGCAGGGAGCAGCCGCTGCTGCGCAATGCGCGCGGGGCCCTGCTGAATGCTCAGCGTAAATGACATGGCTGGGACCGCTATTCCTGGTGATTTGGCGAGACGTTTGTTCTGTGTCGATACGCGGTGAATGTGAAGTGCAATGGTTTTGTCCAATGCGGGGAGATGGCAGTTGGGTGAATTATATGAGTAAGAAACTCTTTGCCGCCGGCTCCAGAATAATATAGTAGTAACAGCTCTCGTCGCAGTAAAGCCGGGCCATGACGTTGGGCCGGATACCTGCGCTACCTAAATCCGCGTCACGTGTTGGAAGCCTGTAGAAAGCTCCGGCAGTGGCGCCGAAGCATCAAGCACAGCACACTTGACAGTAGGCGCTCGATTACTAATGCCGCAGTTTTCCTGAATGGCTTCAGATCAATTTCTTGCGGTTTTGGATTTCGGTACTCCGAAGTCCGCCAAAGTCCGCGTGTTTCCCATGTTTCCTTTCCATTTAATCGTTTCAATATGCAATTACGTGTTATCCAAATACATACATGTTCCCATCTAACTGCCAACCAAGAATGCATCAATAATGGAGAGAATCGTCAGAATATCCAGCCCCAAGCAACCGGTTCATCACCCCTATGTCGTACCCATTTGTTTTGTAATATAGCCATCCAGAAGAAACACCAACCAGTGAAGGCTTCCCGCCATGCCCCTTCCATGAGTGTGAATAGATACATGTTGTTTGATGCTATAAAGTACACCTAGTCCAAAAAAGAAACCCCCTCATAAGACGTCGAGATGCATAGTCATGCTGTCGCTAATAATACGGATAACAATGATGATGGTGAGACTGTTGATAAGCCACATCATCTAAGCCCGTCAGTTCCCTTTTCAATCACAAACTTGACAGGCGGCCTCCTTTTCTTGCCCATAAGGGTAGCGCCAGGCCTCGGGAAGAAGCTGGGTGTGGTGAGCATCGCTACACTCATCTTCCGCGGTGTCGGCAAGTCTCCAAGCATGCTGTCAAACGCTGTCGTTGGCCAGCTGTTCACCGATGTCAGCTCCGTCTTTGCGGTCCGGCTGTCGAACCCCCATTTCGAAACACTGCCTGCCCGAAGCCAGGGCTCAAGGTTGCGGCACTGGCTGACATCAACCCACTTGAGGCGTGTGCAGCCTCGGAGGATGTATTCCAGCCCTTTGCCGGTCACGCGGACACATCCTCGAACACTAAGGCCCTCGAGCTCGTTAAGATGCAGGGCGACGCTCTCCAAGCTGCCATCGCTCACGGCGCTGCCGCAGAATGCCAGTCTCAGCTCTTTCAGCTTCGGCAGGCCAAGAGCGACAACCTCTGTCGCCGTGTCGGAGAGCGCGCAGCAAAAGGACAGGTCGAGGTGGGTCAAGTTCTTGGCTGCGTTGACGAGTGCCACGATGGCGTTGTCAGAGAGATAGGTGCAATCCGCCAGGCACAGTTGAGTCAGCTTCTCAAATTTGAACTGGGCCCACGACTGAAACCCTGCGTCCGTAATCGATGTGCAGCGGGTGAGAGTTAGAGACTCGAGCCGGCTCGAGGCATGGGCGGCGAGATGGCCCATTGATCGATCAGTAATGTGTTTGCAGTATGATAGGTTCAGAGTGTTCAGCTTGGAGCAACCAATAACTGTGCCCGGTGCTGGCATGGTAGGCGAAGGTTGCTGGGCCGCCTTCTCCTTTGTCTTCTTCCCCGAGCTCGATATCACAACCTTGCTGCTGCTCACAGGCGGCGGTTCGGGGACAACCCAGCCGACAACTCGGCCAAGGAGATTGTCTCCAACTTTTCGGCAGTTGCTCCAGTCGACTTCCCTGAGGCCCTTGGCGTTTTCGCTCATTTCGAGAATCTGGTTCGCCGAGACGTCCCATAGCGAGCGCATCCTCCACTTCTGCACATTCTTACCACAGGTCCGCCACAGCGCGGAAAACCCTTCGTCAGTGATGTGGAAGCAATTGTTCAGATCTATGACGAGAGCCCGGGTTCCCACAAAGGGTGCGATGCTGTCGATAATAGCTTGGTCTGTCACCCTCCTGTTATAGTGGGAGAGGTCGACATATGTGCACAACTTTGGGGACGTAGTGAGGAGCGTCTTCCAGTGAGAACAGACACCCCGCAGCCTCAGGAGTTCGCCAACTTCGGCATACTGAAAAATTTGTACCAGAATGTTGTCTGTGATAGATGAAGGCTGAAGAGAGTGCGGCCGGTGAGACAGCGTCTTGGCCCGTTTTGCTGGTACATCGGATTCAAAGTCTGGAGCAGTCCACGCAATGGGAGATGACGGCCCTGCTAACGGGGATCGCGCTCCATTTGTTCGAGTGGGCGTGGTCGGGGAAGCCTCGGTGGGCGTGGTCGGCGGTGCTATTGAATGGCGCCTTCTATTTCTCAAGTTTTCCATATCGACACTCAAGAAAGGATCGGGGTCCTTTGGCTCCATGACTTCCGAATCATCCCTAGGAGTCGCAGATATGGGCTTGAGAGGTGTTACGAAGTTGTCATCGGGAAGGCTAAGGCGAGCGAGTCTCGGCGTTGGGGGGTCTGACTTGCTCGTCTTGCCGTGCTGATCTGCGTCGGCCATGTCGACATCGTCGTCACGGTAGTTGTAGCGATGCCATGCTGTTTGCTCCACCTGCAATTTGATAGCTGGGGGGCATCGTGTCCATAGCTCATCCAGAGTTTCACCCGGTATCATCAAGCATTCCACCGTCGTGATTGACCTGACCGTTGCCGTCCGCCCACGAGACAGGCCCAAGCTAGCAACCTCTCCAAAGTATTGTCCGGTTTTCAATCGTGGTCTTTTTTGGATCGATCTGGTCAGGCTTTCTGCTTCTTTATCTGTCTTCGACTGCTGATGAATAACCTCCGCTTCGCCTCGTACGACGAAAAAGATCTCATGGCCAGGGGTGCCTTGGCATACTATGTCGGTGAAGGGCGGGTACGTTTTTGGCTGCACGCTTAATCCTAGAAAGTGGAGGATGTCGGGCGGCAGAGAGGTAAAGAGAGGGAGTTCTTTGAGCGTCTTTCGGATGTTGACGAAGCCGCTACCTAGCGCACTGCCGAGGGCCGGGTCTTCGATTACGCTGGGGCTTGGAGATTTTCGTTTCTTGGACTTGATCACCGCGCCGTCCTTGATCGCGCCGGTCTCTCCAGTCGACACCTCGCCCGGGTTCGTAGTGCGTGGAGTGAACTCGCTTTTGGGGGATTTGAGGGATGCGCCACGTTCCAGTCGTTTTTTCTTGAGCACCGCTAGTCTTTCCTGCGCTTCCTGTCGAATCGCCTTCTCCATCTCTGGGAAGCTTGGCATGACAGTTTGGAGATCCTCCTTTTTCAACACCAGCAACAGGCACTTGGTTCGGGCGACGATGGTGGCGGTCCTGGGCATGTCCATGAGCACCCCGATCTCGCCGAAAAAGGCGCCAGCTTTGAGTTCTGCGTAAACGGCCTCGCCGTCTCTCGAGGTGACTGCGACAACGCCTCGCACCAACCAGTACATGGCCTTTGCGTCATCCCCCTCAGTGATAATGTGGTCGTTGGGTCCGTGTACCTGCGGTTTCAAGTGATTGCCAATTGCTACTAAAAACTCTTCCGACGCCGAAAGAAAGAGGGGAAAGGCTCTGATGCGATCTACCAGATCCAATGGCATGTCCCTGATGGTCGAGGCGGTAAGCGGGGATGGTCGCATCGGCCGTGTAGGGTTATTTTCGACGTTGAATGACCGGATGAGAGAGACTGGATCGGATTCCGCGCCGTTGCCATGTTGATGTCCCAGCGCCCGGTAGTGCGAAGGCGCACTCGGAGAGCGATTGCGTCTCATGGTGATGCTCGGCCGGGCGGGATCTGGGTGCGGCTACCCTTGCAGGGTCAACTTGTTTCAAGGCGTGCTGAAGCCTTGTGCGGCTTTCCCGCACCGCACGTTCCCAAGCAGCCTCAGAGATATTGGCTGCTCAGGGCGAGCGTCTCCCACGCTGCCTTGAATTAATCGTTTTTTGCGTATGTCCGCGAGTCGTAAGCCTTCGTTGTTGAGGTTGGTAGTGTTGTGATAACCCCCAGACCATGCTCTTTCGGATGAAGTTAACGGATGCCCTGCTGTCGCCCATACAGTAGCGGCCTGGCATATATTCTTCGCAACGGACGTCGTCTACCGACAAGGTTGATACAAACGCTTCGGAATTATGAGCGGGTAAGCGATATCGGGCCAGGGATGTCGCGGTGATGGCGGCGGTGCCCGACTGTCACCGACTATTTCGTCGAAAGGAGCGAAAGCTTGGAGATGGAGCAAAGCTTCGCTATGCTGACGTCGGCCCAAGAAGGAATGAAAAACGAACCCTCAGCGATCCCGGCCACCGTTTATGGCCACTGAGCTCTGATTCTAGAGCGGAAGCGGTCGCGTGCCGGCAGCCAACAGGCTAGGTCGAGGTCATTAGCAAACAACGACAGCCCAGCAAAGTGGCGGAGAGGTTTCTCACAGAGGATATAGCAATAGCCCCGTGGGCAACGCTATAACGTCAGGAGTGGCCAGTCGAAAGCGTAAAGGGGCGTCCCAGGCCGTGTCTGCTATGCGACCTCGAGGATTAGTGAGCAGATGAAAATCGAGTCCAGGCCGTCGAGTTGGAGAGAAGATGAGGGAGGGTCGAAGGACAGCCAGAGGGTCATTGCGCAAAAGAGACAGACACGCACACACATGCACACACACACACACACCACATAGACAATCAGTCCGGCTACGGTATGGATGCTGCAGCTTTTTGACGTTGACGTGGGGTAGCTCCAAGCGGTGGGTTTTTCCCAAGGTTGGCGTGGCGAGCTGGCCGTTAGCCTCCACTGGCTTCCAGCGAGCGACAGCCTGCAGAAGCCCTGCAGCACCAAGCAAACAAAAGCCGAAATGATGGAAGATCAGCGGCAACCCCGAGTGGGAAACCCCCCCAAAAAAGCCCGCCACGATTTCGAGGGGGGTGTGTGCCCAAGTAGAGGATGATGAGACCGGATGGAGGATGACAGCTTGTCGAGCCTCGTCGAGGCAAAGGTGTGTACTCGCATGCGCCTGTACTCGCACAAATCCAGTACAACAACAGTGGGAAGTACAGGTACTCTGTGCGGCCAACGCGGATGTACCAGCCTAGAAAGTGTTGACCCAAGAGCCTCAGGACAGGGCTAGCAAACAACAGGGCTTTTTACAGATGCAACATCAGATCCATGCAGCGAACAGGTGAAAAGTTTTCGATCCACGTCGCATGTCTTTGATATTTCCGTACGTGTTTGGCATACACATTAAGCAGCTGGAACGGCCTGCATCGGGCGCTACGAGTAATGAGCATGTCTTCCATTCATTACTTCGGTGAGGGTGCCCTGCCCTGCTATGCTGGCATTGTACCCGTACAGCATCGTGCCGAAGTTCTAACCAAAGGGAGGCTGGAGCCGAGCTACCGGCCTTAATGCCGAAGTCTGCATGACGCCAGCGGCGCCAATGCTTTCCAATATTACAACGAGGTCCCCTGAGAACGTGGCAATGCTTGCGGTCTTGATGGGGAAAAAAGCAAATGATTGTTTCGTACCTATTATGTGACATTTGTCGAGTTGTACGAGTCGATGGCATGGCATTTACCTTGACAGCACTGGATAGATCTACCAACGTTGCATCTCGCTTGAAACACAAGGTGGATTAGATTGCTAACCGAAGCCTCGCGGAATCCCAAGAGATCCGTCTAATCCCAGCAGGCCAAGAATACATGTCCAGATCAACGCAGCAGGTACATGTACTCGTACAATTACAACCAGCGCGTTCAAGGAAACGCCACCACGATCCTTCAAGGCTGACATGCGCAAGACACCAAGTCTCTTGTAATCAACTAGACTGGAGTGTTTGCCAGTCATTGTATTTTGCTAACCTGTGTTGCACCACCAAAGCAGTCACTAATTAAGGCGCCGTTGCCACGCACCGCTGCATCCGAGTCCACAGAGTTGGCTGCTTGACTGAGTCAAGGAGTACAGGTACTACTGGACAGGTTAGTACGAGTACAGCTTCCCACCGCACGGGACGCTAAATGATCCATGCGCTCGGGATGGAACTGAGCATAACGCATGGACCAGGGGCCCTAGCAGGAAGAAGAGAAACAGAAGAATGCTGGAAGCCTAGAAAAGAGGCCCTTTTGAACCCCCCATGATCCTTGTGCTGTTCGGGTGTCTTTTTTGCAGCTGGCCATCGCGCGGATCTCACCGCAAGGATACGATACATATACAAAGGAGCTGTCTATCTTTTTAGAAAGAAGAAGAAGAAACAAGAAAAAGAAAAAGAGAGCGCAAAACAAGCACAAGGGAATGGGAACAGGCATCGTAGATACTCGTACATATTCCCCGTGCCTTGCCGTAATATTACGAGTACGCGTGCCTTGCATATTCCTCCAGAAAGCCAAGCCGCATGCGCACCCTTTCTGCGCTCACACTCCCTCCTAACCGTGCTGCTACCGCATGCACCTAGGACAAGCGTTCCGTAGCGATGCTGACCTGGGCTTAATCGTGCATGTACGGCTCGGTATATAAATAGAGCAATTCGGCCCATTCCTACCTGGGCAGTTCCAAGCATCAGCAGTCGCCGGAATCGAATTTCAAGGCCCTATCTTTCCTTACCTAGTGCCAGGTAATGCAGCACTTGGCTGCTCGGTATGCACGAACGACTACATACGCCTTTTGTTTGACGGCGAAATTGGAGAATAATTTCCGTCTGACCTACAACGATCCAAGGGCGGAGTCCCCATGTGGTATAAGCACAGGTACGGGTACAGGTATCAAGACTGACTTGTTTACTTCAGACACCACTAAATCCGTCCATGCCGCATTACAACACACTTATCCAGTACCCATCTTGGGTTTCATCGTTGACATCACCATCTCACCCCCATTTCCGTTTCATCTTACCGTAGCCGTACAGAACCCAATCTCATCATGGGACTTGATATCATTCTGCCATCCAATTGTACATCGTGTCAGCGCACTTGCGCACAAAGTCGAAAAGGGGGGCCAAGAAAAGCGCCCCCAAGCTGACTAGAGGCCTCCTCATCGTACCTGCCCTTTCACATTCTGCCGACAATCTCACATCCTGTTGTTTGACCGCCCCGGCCTGTTTTGTTTGCCAGTTGAGCTTATCACCTGTTATTTTCTTCTTCTCCTCTTTGGCTTCCTTGTTTGTCAAAGTCCGAGTTGCGCTCGTCATCATCCGCAAATTTTTTCACCTCCGTTCCTGGCCTTGCCTCAAATGGGTCGAACCTCTCTGAGTTCTTACTGGATGGACCCATTGATGGATCGATCAGATCATTGGCGGAAGAAGAGATCGAATGGGTGTTTCGGCACTGCATCTTTCAAAAGGGGGCACGGCATTAAGTCAATCATTCGGTCATTGTGATTCATATCGGCTTCATTCAGTTGGCAGATCCCAGTGGCTCTACGGGATCGTCATTTACTAAAACGCCACAGGTTGTACAAAGAGTACGAGTACACGTACAACCGAGAATGTGAAGAAAATCCTTCGTGAGCCGCCCAGTGGCAGCCCAGGTGCAAATGCATCGCCAATCAAATTGGGTCATTGTCAACATACCATGCCCACGTCTTCGGAGATTTCCGAACTACCAAGCATGCATCCAACCGCTTTTCATCTTGTCCTCCGTAGATCCTTGAACCGTCTCTCGGCTTCACATGCAACCACCGCATCCTTTCTATTTTGCAGCTTCCCAGTCGGGACCTTTAACCCAGCCGGCGGCCAAAACAGAGGCCCTAAAAATAAGAACCGGGCTCCCTTGAACACATAATCATTCGCCCAACGCCGCGGATGTGGTTCCGTAACTCAAACATACTCCCCCCTGCCGCCTTATGGGCTGGTGCTTTTCAAGAACATGTTGAAAACTGCCGAGTCGGTGCACTCCTCGGAAGGGTATCCAAGCTCCTCCAGGAACTGCTCCAGTTCGGCATTCTCTTCCGGTGGGCACTGGATCCCTGCCAGCACCTTGGCCACGTCTCCGCCATACGTACGATACTGGAACAGGCTGATGTTGAACTTGGGTCTCAGGGTTGTCAGGAACTTTTCTAGCGCTCCTGGCCGCTCAGGGAAGTTAAACATGAAGACCCTTTCGTTCTCCACGCCGGTGCGTCCGCCGATGAGATAACGCACATGACTTTTGGCGAGCTCGTCGTTGGATAGATCGGTCACGTCCATGCCCTCGGCTCGGATACGCTCCATGAGTGACCGCACCTCCTCGACCCTTTGGGCTGCCGGTACTGTGATAGAGAGACCGATGAGGACGTTGGCAGAGCTACCAGATGAGTAGCGATAGGAAAACTCCGTTACAGGGCGAGGCATGATGGTATCGACGAGCTTGGCAAAGGCCCCAGGACGCTCTGGGATGGTAGCGGCCATCAACACTTCCTTGCCCTCACCCAATGTGGCACGCTCGGCAACAAATCTCAACCGGTCGAAATTCATGTTGGCGCCCGACGTCACCGCAATGAGCGTCCTCTTGGAGTCGACGGAAGGCTGGCGCGCAACGTATTTCTTCAAGCCAGCTATAGACAGGGCACCCGCCGGCTCCAATCCGGATCTGGTATCGTCGTACATGTCTTTGATGGCAGCGCAGATCTCATCCGTGGAGACCTCGATAACTTCGTCCACAACCTCGCGGCAGATGCGGAAGGTCTCCTCTCCAGGGATCTTTACAGCGGCGCCGTCTGCAAATAAGCCGACTTCTTGAAGCATGACTCTCTTCCCCAGCTTCAAAGACTGTGCCATGGCATTTGCATCTGATGCCTCAACTCCAATGATTTTCACATGGGGTGCCATTCTCTTGACAAACAAGCCAATGCCTGCTATGAGGCCGCCGCCTCCAACTCCACAAAAGATGGCTTCAACTTTGGCCATGTTCACCTGTCCAAACATTTCATTACCAATGGTCCCTTGACCGGCAATGACGTAGGGGTCATCGAAAGGGGGGATGTTGATGAGTCCATCGTGCTTCGCACGCCGTGCACACTCTTCCTTTGCAGCGTCGAAATCTGCGCCGTGCAAAACCACATGGCCGCCAAGGCGAGCAACATTCAAATGCTTAATGCTTGGCGTGCCCTCGGGCATGACAATGGTGGCGGGAATCTTGAGCTTTCGGGCAGAGTAGGCAACTCCCTGGGCATGGTTTCCGGCCGAACAGCAGACGACACCCTTCCAGCTTTCGGCTGGGTCAAGGTGGGCCATCTTATTGTATGCGCCGCGCAGCTTGAAGCTGAAGACGGGCTGCAAATCTTCTCGCTTGAGCAAAACATTGCACTCTAGTCGGTTGCTCAGGTTAACGGCTGGGGCCAGCGGCGTGGTCTTGCAGGCCTCATAGACTCGTGAGGTTGCGCTGGCAATCATGCGCAGGTACTGCTCCGTTAAACAAAACACGTCAGTCCTCTTGGCCCTACAATCTTCCTTGTCTTCTTCGCACGAGGGCGTAAAAGAAGAGAGAAGAGGTCTTGTGCAGGGTGACTCACGTCAGGGTGACCATCGGGAAGTTGGAATTCTTCTGGCACCAGCGATGCGCCCTCTTCGACCGTCTCGGGTGGCGGTGATGGATTCGCGCTGTATTCCGTCAAGGCCATGGCTCTCAGGGCCGATGACGTTGATGGCCTGCGAGTCCCGTGGGTGCCCGTGGCGCCGTTGGGCATTAACGTCGTGCCATTGAGACCCGGCATCGCGAAGGCAAATTTTCGAATCGGTGATGCAGATTCTTGTCTTATTTCTGCCTCTTGTTTGTTTGGTGCAATGTAGAGAAAGAAAGGCCAGTCTGACTGACGCTGGTGAGGATGGTGACCTCCGATAGATCGGACCCTCCGAGTTTTTTTTTGGAGAACAAAGGTGGCGTGTACTAGCGACCGCCCTGATGCAATGAGAAGTCCGGCAAAACTAATAGGATTGCGGGCATGCTTTTATATGGCAAAAATGGCTTTCAAGTTCTTTGGCAATGTACTGACGCTTTACGGAGTAGAGCATGTGGAATAAGCCATGAGGTAAGTTGTCAAGACACAAGCCACAGCAGCGGGAGATTCCATCAAGACATGCATGCAATTGGACTTGGGTGTGCAGAGCTGACTCAATCAAGACATGGCCCAAGAGCGCATCGATATCGGAGCCCGCATTTGATTGCGCCCAATGCTTTATCACTCGTTCTGATTCGATTCAATCCGCACAGCGCAGCATTCAATATTACTACAACTCTTTCAGTACAGTAAAAGACCAAGCATGTATTACTAACTCCAGTGGTATCTAGGACGAGTCATCTACCGGATGAGATAATTCCTTTATGCACCCAATCTATCATTCCACGTCACCCGCAGCAATCAATCAATCCAAGTTTCAAATAAAAGCTCATGATGCAAGGAATCATGCAGGGGAATCAAAAACACGGCTACTCCTCTTTCTCCGCGCTACCTCTCTAAAATCATCTCTTCTCAAGACTTGCCGGATTTTCGAACTACCTGCTCGTATGTCGGTAGACCTTCCGACGAGCTTGCTGGGTGCAGATTCCCTCGGCTGGTCGGCCGGTCACGACTCTGGACATCCCGCCATTGAGATCCTTCCGGCTCCATGACCCCTTGCTGTGCGGGGGGATACATGGCTTGACTCCTTGAGCTGTCGCCACGCTGCATGTAAGGCACGCCACCATTGCCGGGTTGAGGTTGCATAGTATTCGAATACGGAGGTACGGCTGAGCGGGGGCCCGCACGCGAACCAGAGTTCATCAAGGACAAGACCATGTCGGCATCCCTTGCTTTGCGCTCTGCCTTGCGCATTCTCCTACTCATCCGACGCTCTTCCCGACGGCCAACCACCATTTGTGGTGGGTAAGCGGCATAAGGGGGGGTATTGTAGTTGTTGTTGCCACCACTGCCGTTATTGTAGCCACTGGGATAACCACCGGTGTAATTGTTGCTGCGGCCATTGCTTTGGTTGTCGTAGTATTGGTCGTTGTTGTATCCATTGCCATATCCATTATTGCGGTTTTGCCGACCGTCATCGTCTTTGTTGGCCATTGTTCGAGCGGCAACAGCCACGAGGCCAATGAGCAGCCCGGCCATTGTTTGTGGTGATTGGACGGATATAGAGAGTAATACTATGCAGGTAATGTAGCCGGAGACTTTGATGTCTTGTGTAAGCTACGCCGAGAAAATGAAATGATGCGCGAAGGATCAGACGGAATGGTTCACAAGGGAATCAGGCTACAATGATTGATCAAGAGTAGAGGATGTCTGTCTGTAAGGAGTCTGAGTGATGAGACAATGAGAGATAAGAGACGGGATCTTTATACAAGTTTAAAGCTGCTATGCTAACGATGCAAATTCCAAATACCAGAGCGAAACTGCATGACGACGTTATATCCTGCGTTCGCACCGCCTCTTCCCATGGAGGCTCAGATCATCAGGGACCATGGCTGTGCCTCTCTCCACGCGGCCTCCAAGGAGCGTATTTGCGTATCTCGAATCGTTCTGCTCGATCTGGCCTAGCCCATGGAGACGATTCCGGCTCCGCGCCTCCACCATCGGGGCCGCATCCACCCAATCGGCCAATTCCAGATCGGAGTGTCAGGACGCCTTGATGCCGACAGCGGGTTTTTACTGCCTACATGTAGTTTCAGAGGCCAAAAAGACGAGATGAACCAGAAAGCAGACTAGGATCAAACGGTAAAACGAGGTTAAACGAAACCGAAGAGTCAGTTGATGCAGCTTTGCTTTGCTAGGCACAGTGTCAAAAGTCTCAGCCACAATGACTCTCATGACGATAGTGACTGCGAAATGTCCCAATAGGCGCGAAGCACAGCGACGCCTCCCACCTGGGTTTCCACTGTGCGTCCTCTGCCGCGATCGTTGGGGTCGCTAGGGCGTGGTTTTGGTTTCCTCATGGGTATCTCCATCGAATCCAGCATGCCCATCTTCTTGTAATCTTCTAGCGTAACCTGCTTATCCAGTCCTCTCTTCCGAGATCCTGGCAGCCATCTCGAATTTCGACCCCAGAGGTCATTGTTTGGGGTCCCGTCCCTACGGTAGTCGGTGGTATTAACAGCATCATGGTCGATTCCGTCGCTTGCACGAGATACGTGAATGTTGCCGAAAAGCCCTGACCCCCACCACATGCCAAAGCGTCCTCGACCATCTCGAGATTTCAGCGCTGCCAGAGCGTTGTGCTTGATCCAGCCGAGATACGCCTGACAGGCCGATTTGTGAGCTGCTTTGACTCGAGTGAAACCATCCACGTCGATGTAGTCGCCATTGTTGAGGTTGACCTCATCCAAGGTCCGACAAAACGCAGTCAGATGGTGAAAGTATATGCCCTTGAATGTCTGGCCATCCTGAGAACACGTTCCGCTTACATCACAATTCTCTTCTAGGATGCCACCCCGACCGAGTCCTCTCCATTTGGGCAGCTTTGCAGATACACCCACCGAATCTATTGGCCGGTTCGTCTTCAAGCTCCAGCCGGTGGCCTTGATGACGGCCTGGATAAGATTATGGCCGTCTTCTAGGTACGAGGGGCTCCCTGTCACGTCCCATAGCCCTCGTTGGCCAGTGAGCAGCACGCCCTGGTTGTAAGTGTACACCATTTCATCGCGAATGTTGCACTCCACGCCCCCATGCTTTCGTCGGCCGATGTGAAACCCATCAGCATACAAGCCATCACGGTTCATCATGTTGCTGTTTATAAGCCATTTGTAGCCCTCAATCGCCGCTTGAAGATGTAGCGGATCCTTATCGGCGACACTTCCGTTGCTCATGTACTGATACATGGAAATCGAAGCTGAAACGTACAGCTCATTCGTGATGGCGTTCTTGTAAGGCTCCAACCGGGGGTTCCAGACCATGCCCCCGTGGCACAAGGCCGTATCCCAGCCCTGAGCGCCAAAAAGCCAGAAGCTTTTCGCCCGGCTCTGGAAGGACGGGATCCAGAGATGGCCGCGCCACGGCAGCAATGCCAAAGCGGCATGGATGTCAGTAGGGAAACTAGCATTGGGGCTGTGCTCGGCTTCGGGGAAGCGGATGCCGCCATGCGATCGAGCAAAATTCACGGCCTCTATCCAGCCAAGCACCACCCATAATATGTCATCAAAGGCCTAGATAGGAAAGTCTCTCTAAGCCGGGGATATAACTTGGGGACAAGTGGGTAAAGGGGGGGGAGCATACCTGGTCTCGGATAGCAACTATATCCTGCGCAAAGTGATAGCCAATGACTTGGTCGTACACTGACGAGATGAGGTTTTCTTGCGCTTCTCGAATACTGGGTGTAATGCCCGGGACGATCAAGTCTATCGACTTGGTGAGGGTTGACAGCATGCCGGAAACGACGGTCTCGGTGACTGCGGCGGTCCAGTCTATCGCCGATGGCCATGTATTTCGTCCGATTTGGTAGTATTCATTCTGCAGCACGGCGAGTGCGGAGAAGGCATCTTCGAGGATCCCAGTCTTGGCCTCGTCGGAGGCGAGATCTCTTGCGGGGATGTGCAGGAAGGCGTCTGGCGGTGGGCGACAGTCGGTCGCCACGGCATATATGGAGCAATATTCTGGTTTGGTATGTCTATATGAGGCGATCACCACGGGGAGGAAAGCAAGGATAAACATGACGGTATGTATACATGTAATGAATAAGTAAGGTTGGTTATGGACGAGGATGAGCAAATGAGCGTATGTAGCTGAAGAGCATCATCTGTCAGTGTAGATGCTTGACAGATGAAGAGTAAAGAATGTTTGTCTTATGAATGTGAGGCGAGGTGGTTGAATTCATACAACTGAGAGCATCGGGCTGATGTTTTGGGTATGTCAAATGACTGCCTTACATGTTAGAGTGTGTGTCAGTTTGGCTTCATTGTTCTTGGGCTACCTAGGCGGTACTCGGCAGTTTCATTTGCTGGCATGAAGATGTGTGTATAAGCAAAGGTACTAGGCAAGTATTTTAAAGTGCCGAACCAATAATTCGGATGTCATGGGGCTCGTTTCCATACCAGCGCCGATCTACCCCTCAGCCGCAAATCCTTCTTACTAGAATCTCAGTCAATTCAATTCGAGACATCTTAATGAATCATGTCAATGTTAAATAATTTAGCTTGATACCGTTCTTTTATTATTCACTATTCGTACTTTCTTGATCTCACATGTAGTTGCCTTGCTTTCGTGGCCTTGAATTCTACCACATGCATTTCCGATGGAGCTACAGGGTATGCTCATTGGTGATACCCCAGCTGCTGACTGGATGAGTTATCCAAGGTTAGGTTCGATATCTAACAGCGCTACTTGGTTTAGTCGCGGTGGCTCATTTGCTGCTCCAGCAAGTTAATCATCCAAGGTAACGCAAACTCTATCTCAATAATCTAGATTCGTACAATTGCCCTAGTATAAAGTGTTATTCTCTATCGAGTGTCTACATTGGCCGAGACTTTTGAGGGTCGCCCCAATTCCTCGGAGCTTCGATCCGATGGGCGAACCGCGAGCCTCAAATGGAGAAGCCGCAAAGTATAACTTGAAGGCTGTACCTATTCATGGACGGATGATCGATCAAATAAAGTTTCCAACAAATGAAAGAGCTACCTGTGTCAAGATTCAGGCCCGAGCAAATCCATCGAGTGACATATGTGTGTATACTTTTGCGGTGGCTTTTCTCGAAGTGAACCTTGAGATTTCGAAGGATTCGGCCGTAATCCGAGGTTTTCCGCTAGTTTAGGTGCATATATAGAGCCTCTCTCCCTTCCTCCACAGCGGATTTCCTATTTCATATATCCGCAACTCTGTACTGCCAACGGCAGAGCAAAATCGACGCTGTCTTCCATCATCTCAGATCGGGAGGGCGAATCAGCACATAGGGTGTAAGAGGGCCTTGCTTGCGTTGCTGCCCCAGTTCTACATGACAACCATCATCGCTGAATATAAAATATTCCAATTTCTCTCAGACATCAGACCAGGGCAGACATGGTTCGTGTTACCAAGGCTCTGAAATCGCCGTTTAGTATAGTTCGGCAAGTGTTGGATGACTATTATTTTGGGCGAGCTATGCGTCGAATGCCAATAATAGTCCCGCCGGACAAGTGGGAGTGCATGGAGAAGCGCAAGCGCGAAAAAGAACGCGAAAAAGACGATAATAAAGAGTGCAAGGATGAAACGCCGAATGAGTGCGAAGATGATGCTGCCCGAATGGCTGCACAACTTAAGAGATCATGGAGATATTGTAAAGGTCAAGAATTTCCCTGGCTCCTTTGTCAGCCGGTTTGTGAGGAAAGTAATTGGAAGGGAACTTGGGCATTACAGGTAAAAGATATGAAAGCCATGAACTGGGGGGTAGAAAAATTACCTTTGGAACTCAAGAAGGGGGGAAAGTTCGTGTGTAAACCAACTCGTCAGTTGCCGTTCCCTTTTGGAGAGGAAAGCAGTGTACTGCCACTAGAAGGTGGGCAGGATGATATGATGGTCTGGTTGGGGAAAAGCTAGGTGAGTACTAACAACCTGATGGGGAAGATGGTTCTTGTCTTTACCTCTCCACCTTGCATCTTAGGTAACAGTGCTAATTTGCAGTGTGTTAAAGATCTCTTCAAGTGCAGATTCGTGTTTTCACCCATGACACCGCTGAGGACGCGCGGAATGACTCCAGGAGAACGCGCTGGTGATTGGAGACGCAGCACGCGTCGAGGACGAGGCGATCTGCCTATCAGAAGCTGTTTCACGTCCGCCCTCCAGAGACATCTTCCCTTGTGGTCTAACCTATTCTGCTCCGTGCAGCTTTCCCAGAAAATCGACTTCCACGCGTTTTTATTGGATATCGTTTTGAATGTGATTGGTAGTTTGGTGTCATGGGTTTTGTTTCCATGTAGGTTTGTTTGATATCTCGAAGTCCCTATTTTCAACAAGACTTTGAGAGCAGGATTGGGCTGTGCTTGTGGATGCATACCTCAATAGGTAGAAGAAGTACATATTCCCAATTATTAAGACGAGATGGGCTCAAGGGAGTTTGGACAAAGGGAGCGGCCGTTGGCTGGCTGAGATTACCTATTTTGGGGTGTTGTGTAATACGAGCAGGATGGCCCGCTTGCGTTACAAACAAACAATAACAGATGGATGCAATGTACTATCTTCGCACGTCAATGATAATTCTTTACATGTTAGCTAGGAATCGGAAATTCGTAGTGCTCTCGAATGCATGCTTTCTCGTTTTCTCGCCCGTTGTCACTGAATAGACATTACATGATACTTCGCAGCTGTAAGTGCTTCAGTAAGGCACCTTGCTTCTAAAGCAGGAAAGGTACGGGCTCGCTTCATGGCGGGTTGGCAGGGAAGTGGGCGTCTAAAATACGGGGACTAAGCCAGCCTCTTAACTTTTGACTGGAAGGTACTGCTAAAGTATTATCCGGGCAGTAATTTAAGTGGTTGGGAGCTGGATTTTATTTCCAAACACCTGGAATAAGTAGAGAAAGATGGCTGAATTAGAGTATGGAGTGATATTAACCGGTAGAAGCTTGTGATAGTAGAAGAAAGTAGCGATGGTAGAAGAAAGTAGCGATGGTAGAAGAAAGTAGCGATGGTAGAAGAAAGTAGCGATGGTAGAAGAAAGTAGCGATGGTAGAAGAAAGTAGCGATGGTACCAGATAGTACGAGCAATGATACGGTAGCAAGGGTCAGTGGTACCTTTTGAATCATGGTCTACCTGTATGTACATTAGTACCTAGCAGCCGCCAACTGCCAAAATACGCGGCATCTTCGTTCGCAAGTACTTGCATACCCCGCTGTCCCAATCCGGCTTAGTGTTGTTTACTTTCTACACCTCGAATCAAGCAACAGGAAGGTACACCCCAAAACAATCCCTGGACATCAATTTCGGCATTCTCAGCCCTGCTCTTCGCCTTTCTCCTCCCGCAAAAACCTCGAATTCACAACCACAGCAGCTCCGTCACACCTGACATCGTCAGCTTCATCGAGATACCCGATCAGTGCAATTTCCTGCGAGCCCACAGACCCTTCCCTTCTCGCTTCCGACCGCTTGGCGCATTGACAGCGCAAGACGCGACGCGAAACAATAAGAGAGAGAAAAAAAAGGCCGCCGCTTACCGCCATTCATCAACCCCCAAACAGCCCATCCTCGACTCTTGCTGCTCCAGCAGCGTGAGGAAGAGAAGAGAGAGCGATGGAGTCCGACGCAAATACCAGATATCGTTCGCGAATTATTAGGGAAATCAAGGCTAGCAGCGATAACCCCTTCAACTCCCCTCCGTCATCCACCGGCAGAGCCAGCCCCACGCTGTCATCCGTCTTCTCAGATCCCGAGGGCGAATCCACACGCAGGCTGCAAGAGGACATTGCCCGCGTTGCAGCCCCCAGAAAACTGCCCATCAACTGGGAGGCTGCCCGCCGCAAGTGGCCCGAGTTCTACTCCCAGCCCAAGACGCGGCCCATCTTCGACGACCAGACAGACACAACAGCGCCCCTGGCCGACCCGCCCCTCAACCACAACAAAAAGGAGACACTGCCAAAGGCTGTTCCGCTTCCCGCCTACATTGATGATACCACCGAGGACGCGTGGAACGGCTCTAAGAGAACGCGGTCGGAGATGCAACCGCGCGTCGACGAGGCCGACCTGTCCCAAGTTATTTCACGCCCGCCCGCCAAAGGCCTCTCTACTTACGGCCTAAACTACACTGCTCCTCGCAACCCCAGCCCTCTATCAAAAATACACAACCAGTCCCCTCCTCCACTTAGAGATCAGTTGAAGGAACGGCAGGTCACTATCGAAGAAGCATTGGAAACGCTTCGCAGGGCATCATCCAACCCCAGAGAACGGGAAGAGGACCGGAGAGTCCCGTCCCTCGACAGTAACATGTCATCCGCAAAGTCTAGCTTGACAGCTGTACCCCCCTCACCGCCACACCCGTCCCTCATGACGGACTCAGACCTCGCGCGCCGCGATAACTTTCTTACTAGCACATTCAGATTCGGTGGATCGATTATTAAAGATGGTGCTCCTATCATTGTTAGACATGGCCGAGCACACGACCAGAACGTCAGGCCCTTTGGCGTGCCATACGCAGAGGTCGACGGCATTAAGGTTGCTGAAGACGAGGCTGCTATCTTTGCATCGGCGGATATTATCCGTGCTGCTCAGGACCAGTATGAAAAGGTGCAAGACTACGCCAGAGGTCTCCAGCAAAAAGTTGAGATGCTCGAAGCCCAACTTGCATCTCGCAAGGGCGCAGACGGAGCACTCAGCGGTTTCAACGTGAATACGAATGCAAATGCACAGACTTTGTCGGAGAAGAAGGGTAATTGGACATGTCCCCTTGAAATCTTTATACCCGTTGACTAACAATCGCACAGTACTCCAAGCTGAAGTAGCGTCTCTCCAGAAGCGATTAGACCAAGCGACAAACCAGATCAGCACTTTTCATATGGAGAATGACACTCTGACCCAAGAACGTGATCGTGGCGTTGGTCGTCTGCAGAAGGCTTGTGAGAATATCAGCAAGCTAGCTCAGCAGCTTAAGGAGAAGGAGAAGGAGCTGGAAAACACCCACAAGCAGCTGGGGTCATCCGAACAGGTTCGACAGGATAACGACACACTGCGTCGGGATGTTGCGGCACTGAAACAAGACAACGCATCACTGGGAGCAGAAATCGATGCCCTACGGCGTGAACAACGGCATCTTCGTCAAGAAGCCGAATCCAGCAATGGCCTCGCAGAGTACAGGACTCTACGAGCCAACAACAAGAGTCTGATGGACGAGAATGAAGATCTTCGAGAGAGCTTGGATGGTACCCAGCACGAGCTTGATGCTGCTCGCGAGGAGATTGAAGCACTGCAACGGGAACTTCAGTCGTTGAAGAGAGAAAGGGCAACCCTTCGCGAAGATAATGCAGGCCTTGTTCGACACAATGAGAAATACTTTAGCGAAAACAAGATTCTACGCCGTGAGAACGCTGGCTTTGAGCACAGCATCCATGATCTGCATGATCGAAACCTCAAGCTGAAGGAAGAGATTGAGGTTCTGAAACGGCAGTTGGACCGCTATCGGGGCTCAAGCAACAGTAAAAGCGACTTTACGACCCGCCAGGATGGAGGAGAAACAGACGAAAACATGACGTCGGCATTCTTTGTCCCTGATATAACCCTCAAGTCAAATGACAATACCGAAACAAAAGACATGCCTGCTGGGTCCAAGAGCAGCGTCAGATCATCACCCTCTAAGAACGCCGGCACCGCCAAGGTTGCTTTTGCTCTTCCCGACAAGGCAGCACCTAAGTCTACCGTGGCTAATCAGGGCAGCAAGCGTCGGAGCGCCAGCCGCCTATCGGTTCCAGGTATGGATCCCTTTGGTGACGAAGACGACACTGGCTTGCTGTCGGTGGACAATATCTCTCAGGACCTCGCCATTTCCCTCAACTTGAACGCGGATCTTAAGGGCGGTCCCATGGGCAAGGAGACGAAACAATCGCGGAGTCATGATATTGGGAAGTCAGCGCCGAAAATCGTGCACATCGATTCAAAGTCGAAGAGAACGACGACAGACTCGATTGATCGAGACGGATGCCCTGCGTTGTCGAATAATGCTCGGCAGATCCTTGACAGTCTCTCCCACCACAATTGCCAGGACTGCACAGTGTGCAGCCGCATCACGTCTCACTCTGGAGTCATCTCGACAATCGACCTGGCGGCGGGCAAGAAGCGTGTATCAATACCGCGGCCCATTCCCGTCAGTGACCGTGTCTCGGGAGGTGACCACACGCTTCGACCAGCCAACTCCCCCGGCGAGGCCTTGGCTCTTGTCATCAAAGGCTTAAAGGACGAGTCGCAGCATATTCAGCTGGAGCTGACAAAGCTACAAGCGCGGTACAACAAGTCTGACAAGTCGATGGACCGCCACAAGAGAGAAACCATGGCTGGGGCAATACGGAAGCTGCTGGATCGTGTTGAGGCAAAGAATAATCAGATTTATAGTCTATATGACGTTCTTGAAGGGCAGAAGGCTGCCGGCCAGGAAATGACGCAGGAGCAGGTGGAAATGACAGTCTTGAACATTACGGGCATGCATGTTCGAGAGGTGACGAATATGAGTGACCAAATGACGGAGGGTATGGGTATCGTGGCCTAAGGCCCAAGGCATTGTTTTCTGTTTTAATAAGCACTGGCGTTGGGGATTAGTGTATAATAGGCGTATCGTGTTATAGCCTTGATGAATTCTTACTGTATAATTAGTGTGATCAAAGTGATCCTGTTTTCTTACCCAACTTGTGACCTATCCTTGAGTTACAATGTGACTATCTGCTAGATCCATCTACATCTACTGGATCTATCTACCTCTATATATAATTTCGACATATATCTACAATTTCAACATGTGTCTACAATTTCGACATGTGTCTACTACATCGATATATATCTACTATATCAACATATATCTACTACATCGATATATATCTACTACATCGATATATATCTACTGTGCTCTAATGTCTCTGTTATCACTGCCCTTCTCTAAAACCTGCTACTTTCTATCTTGTAGGTGCTTCTTGTGACGCATGCCGTGTACTAGAGAAGCTCACCAATAACAGTCATCCCCTCGTTTCTCATCCATTGTTTCTGAACAATCCTCCATCGTTATCTCAGCAGTTGACTTTATCTGATTATCCAGTCCGGGGTGGGGGGCTGGTGGTTTTTGTTTATATGTTTGAGATAGATGATACTGGATAGATGGCTAATCTTGTGCGCAAGCTATTACACATTGTTCCCCGAATAACGTGTCATGACATGATGGCATGTGCGGGTAAGTAGGGTAATATGAACAAACGACCAACTCGTTTCCTTCTTTATCTTATATTCTGGAACCAAAAACTCCGTATTATCTGACATGAATCAGGCTATATACAACGTCTACTCTTCGTCTTCGTCATCCTCTTCTTCCTCTGCTTCTTCGTCGTCGTCATTGTCTTCTCCTAGCTCACCGTCCATGTCAACCTCCTCGTCACTGTCCTCTCCGTCCTCGTTTGACAAATCTGCCTTTTCATCCTCTTTCCTCTTCCGCTCGTCCTCCTTTCTCGCCTCGGCCAGGACCTTTGCACGCTCAGCACGGGCGGCTGCCTGGCCGACGACGTACGCACCAAGAGGCGTCTTGGCAGCGTCAAAGTCCTTGAGGAAGGCGTCGACCTGGCTGCGGTGCTTAGGCGCAAAGTCGACCCTCGCGCGCTTCTCCTCGATGAACTTTGAGTTGGCCTCGAGCTTCTGCACAAGAACCGAAAACTGCGAGACGAGCTTGTTGTTCTTGTTGCCGCTGGACTTGGAGCTAACCTGCTTGAGCCATCGCTTGAGCTGGATGATGACAGGGAGGGCGAGTTCTGGGAATGAGATGGATGTGGACCAAGTATACATGAAGCTGCTCATCAGCTCGACCACCTCATCTCCGATGCCATCCTGGAAGACTCGGGTGCGGAGATATGACTTGGGGGCTCTGTAAGAGACGGCAAAGTCCATGGGCTTGAGCGTCGATGCCTTGGGAGCCTTCTTCATCTCGGCCGAGTTGAGCACCTCCAGCAGCGGTGAGGCTAGTGGGATGTAGACGTCGGCGGCCTGCGACAGGACCAGCAGCGAGCGGATGAGGTGGAAGCGGAGGGGGAAGTATAGTGATGTAGGAATGAGGCGCATGGCACCAAGTGTGACTTGAACAAGGGGGTAGATGAGCGGTCTCAGCTGACTCTCCTTGCCGGCCTCGGCTTCCTTTAGGGGCGTGCAGTGCTCAGCAAGGACGCGGGCCCAGAAGTCGAGGGAGTGGGTAAACTGCCAGTTGTATACCATGCGGAACGAGTTGTTCTTGTTGTTGACGATGCTGTTGCGGAGGTGAATGGCGAGCTGGCGGATGAATGTAAAGGCGGTGGTGTAGCCAATGGCTGGGTCGATGCCCCAGAGCCCGGCCGCGGAAAACTTCATCATGTCGATTCCGGCGAGCGTGTTGCGGTTGGTGACTCGGCATCCCTGAACAAGGCCCTGGTAGACGGCCTTGAGGACGGTTTCGCGGATGCCCTTGTCTCCGATGATGACAAGTCGTCGAATCACGCGGAAAGCAGTGACTCGTGACGAGTGGGAGCCGGCGGCTTGAGACCACAGGTTGACCATGGACTTGGCAAGAGCCTTGATGAGCTTCTTGAAGGAGAGAAGGTATGGAAGAATCTCCACGATAGCCAACAGAGTGACTGTGATTGTGCCATCGTCAGAGAGTGTGCTGAGGAGGTGCATGATGGAGGAGATGTAAGACTTCAGAAGCACGGACAAAGCCTTGAACTTCTTTCCCTCCGTCTGTACGTAGACCTTGCCGGCCGCCGACTCTTTGGCAGGGAGGTGGTGACTCATAACCACTGGCACCTCTTTCAAGGCAAGCAGCAGGATATCGTTGAACACTTCCGGGCTGTTGATGGACCATCGCTGATCTGCTTGGCCCTCCTCATCGGCCTCGTTAAGGTGGGCAGCGCATCGGAATGCGAGCACCACTTGTCTGGTTGCTCGCAGAGAATGGGTCTCGGCCATTGCTTTCCTCCAGCTGGCAATGGTGCTGCGAGTCAGCTCATTGTTCTGTGCCGGCTCCTCTTCCGCCTTGTTGCCCTTCTTTCTCTTCTTCTTGGGGAGCTCCTCGTCGGCGTCTTCCTCGCCAGCGCTAAACTCGTCCACCTCTGCGAGATCTGCATTCTCGTCGAAATCCAACAATTCTGAATCATTATCCTTGAGGAACTTGTAAAACTCGGGGTCCTTCTCGGCAAGTCCCTTCATGGCCTCTTTGCTCATGCCAAGCCCAGTAGCCTCGTCATCGTCATCGCTGCCGTCGTCGCTGTCGCTGGCAACAGGCGCGCCACCAATTGAGACCTCCGAATCGCTTCCTTCGCTTGCATCATCCGCATCCTCCTTGGCTTCGTCTCGCTTTCGCTTGCCGAGCTTGCCAGCCTTATCCTTCTTGTCGATGATGTCCTCGAAGCCGCCCGAGAAGAAATCGTCGACGCTCATCTCAGTGACCTTCTTCGCCTTGCCTCCGGCAGGCTTCTTGGCAGGAGCGGCGGTAGCATCTTGGCCATCTTTTGAGCCCTTTATGAACTCGGAATCTTGGGCTTTCCTCGACTTCTGCTTCTCTCTGATCTGCAGCTTCTGCTTGAGCTTTGCGCCGGCCTTTCTCTTGTCCAGAACACCCTTCAGGTGATTCTTTTCGAATTTTTTGGTCGCTTTCAGATTCTTCTTGGAGACACCCATTCTGGATGAGCTTCTACAGCCACTGATGGGGGCCGTAATCCAAGACTCCAAAGGGTAAAATGGAAAAAAGATAAAAGGAAAAAAAAAAGATGCCGATTTGGAGAGCAGAAGCGTCGCCCTCGACGTACCAATTGCACTTTCCCAAAAATTTTCGGCCGCCGACTATCGATAAGCAGTTCCACTGAAAGATTGTGGGCGGTCAGGGAATTCTGCCGCATCTATGTACCTAAGTAGTGGGGCACTGACGTTGGTGTAAGTGGAAGCCTTTTGACTGACCATTGCCATGATAGCCTCCAGCTTTCATCTCCTGGTCGAATGACGCTGTTGGGAGTGCCAACGGCCATTCTCTGTGTAACATTCGCATATTACATGGATGCGTGTTTGTTGGGCATTTGTCATGCTCGCCGGTCTGGCTTAGGTGGTTCACTCAGGTTAAAGTTGGCCCATGGATTCAGTGGCTTCTACTCTCCAAGCCATGGTTCTACCCTAGCAAGCCGATGGCTTCATCATGTTGAAGTCTTTGGATGTGATGAATTGCCTAGGTAAGTAGTGGGTAGATAAATCAAGTAGCTTGTTAGAGATATAAACTTGGTCGAAAGGCAGAAACAGCAAAGTAGAATAGTTTCACCGAATACTAATGTGGATATTGTTTCAAGGTCTTATGTTGAACGGTAAAAATGCCCGGTAATATCTGATACCAATCTGCAGGCTTGGTGAGGATTCGGTACCTAGTAGGCTAAAAAAATTGTTGGGTACGGAGTATGCTTGGTGGTAACTTTTTGAGTAAAACTATAAGTTGCAATGGCTGCCTAATGGTTAGCCACATAGAATAGAGGTAGGTAGGTTTTCGATCCCATTTCTTGCATATATATAACAAAGGCTGGGGCGTAGCCTTCCTCTGATCTAGCTGTTGCAGCTTTACTGAACCTCTTGATAATAAATATAACCTTCATATATTCTACTCTTATTCTCTACCTCTCACATAAAATTCCATATTCATCAATAGTCCCTTTTGGCCCACAACTCAGCAAAATACAAATCCTATTCATATATCGACGACAACCATTCGATACCCCAACTGCAGGCATATACGCCATGGATCAGACTACCAAAGCTCTGAAACGACCCTTTACCGTAATTCGGCAGGTATGGAAGGACTACCAAGTTGGGCGGGTTATACGCTACAATATACTCGAAGGCGACTATGAAAAGGAGGAATGTGAAGAGAGGTGCGATGAAGAATGCCGAGTAGCCTGCATTAAAGACAGCAACGAGAAGTGCAAGGATGACGACAACGGGAAGTGCAAGGAGACAGACAATGAGACGTGCAAGGAAGAGCACGATGAGAATCGCAATGAAGAGCGCAGTGAAGAGCGCGAGGAAGAGTGCAGCGATCCGAACGAGGACCAATGCGTGGACAACAGGGTGCCTTCACCGCCGGCCACATGTATGACTCAAGAAGAAGATCGAGCTGCCCGACATGCTGCACAAGCCGAGAGGAAATGGAAATGGGACGTGGCTGCAGAATTTCCGTGGCGCCATGAGCAGGTGGTGGATGAGGAAAGCAACTGGAGGGGGACGTGGGTATTAGAGGTAAAAGACATGTTTGCTATGAAATGGGCGACAGAGATTGTGGTCACGAGAAACGGCGATGAAAGGGAGAAGAAGATTATACGGAAGCCAACTCGCCAGCAACCGTTTCCTGTCGGACAGGAACGCCTTTACCTGCCGACTGAAGGAGGACAGGATAACAGCAAATTGAGGGACATTCCCTATTTGGCATATTCGCCTTTATCTGCCGACTGAAGGGGCAGGATAACAGCAAATTGGGGATGATTTGATGGCCTGGTTAGGTTGTGGTCGAAGAGGAGATGGGCACTTGCTACGCCCTCTGATTATCAAGAGTATGGAGTCAAATTGCCTCCAGCATGGATTTGTAGATGTACGTAGTAATTAAACTGCCATGTGCTTACAGCTGATCTAGATTGGTTCAAGAGATCATGTTAGTGGTTGATCCCTCTTCTTCTTCCAAGTAACGGAGCAGCTGGAAATCTTGAAATCTTAATGTGGTTTGGCTCCATTTCCCTAACTTTACCTTTTACTTTCATGATTTTTTCTTTCTTTTTTTCTCTTTTTTCTTTCTTTTTATAACCTTTTCCTCATCTTTACCTGGCGGCCACCAGTATTGGATACCTAGGTACTCCAAAGAACACGGGCGGTGAAGAAATTCTGCCAGACAGCTTGCAGCTAGCCCCTCTAAAGCGGCTCAAACTGGGCTGTAAATGCACTGTCGCAACACCACTCACTCACTACAAGCTTGTAGGCTCCAGCGTCGTCACCACCACCTTCATCCCAAACTCAACTCGACCACCATCTCGCTTTCCTCCTCGATGCCTCGCCTCAATCCACCATCATGAACACGCGTCAGAGCTACGCGCCCACTCCCCACAGCTACGTCCCCAACACGAGCCTCTCCGCCACCATCAACCTCGATGAAGTAACTCCCCTCCCCCCGCTTCCTCGGTATAATCAATCTGCGTGACAGAGACAGACAACAGCTGACCCGATCCTCTGCTGCACAGGAGGTGAAACTCAGCAACACCCGCGCCGAGCGCGACCTCCAAGACTCCCTCGGCGAGCTGTTTAGCATCATAGTCACCCTGGATGAGCTGGAAAAGGCGTTCCTCAAGGATGCCGTACCCGAGGCCGAGTACACGGACATTTGCGAGCGCTCGCTGAGGCAGTACAAGGCGCTGCTGGCGGACGAGACGATTGCCGCCGAGTTTGGCGATTTGGAAGACTTCAAGACCAAGTGGGAGGTAAATGCGCCCCAATCTTATGGCTATCGTTTCAACATTTGAAGATGTTACGTACTTCAACTAACACTGGCATCCATCACCAAAAGCTCGACGTCCCCCGAGCGACAGAGCGTCTCCGAGTAGGCATGCCCTCCACAACCGTCCATGCATCTTCCTCCGCCGCCGCCGCCGCACCCCCAACCGCAGCCGCCAACAACACCAGCGGCGTGCTGATCCTCGAGGCGACCCAAGAGTTCATCACCTTCCTCGACGCCGTCAAGCTCGGCCTGCTCTCCAAGGACCAGCTGCACCCGCTGCTCTCGGACGTGATCCAGTCGGTCAACCGCGTCACGGACAAGGACTTTGACAACAGAGGCAAGATTGTGCAGTGGCTCATTACGCTGAACCAGATGAAGGCCTCGGACGAGCTGGGCGAGCAGCAGGCGAGGGAGCTGGAGCTGGATATCCAGCAGGCGTACCAGGGGTTTAGACGAACTTTGACATGAGAATTCTTCTCTTTTTTTTTTGTATGATATGATGTTGCAACATGCTTCCGTGTCTATATGGAAATGCAATACCAAATAATGACTCATGAAAATGCGAGTAAAAGGAGATGGTCTCCTTCGGTTCATCCAGCCCAGAGTATCCTTCTCCCCCCCACCCCCATCACACCAGAAACGTCCAGAAACTCGGATACACAAACTCCTCCTCGAATATCCGCCTCACCTGCTCCAGCACAAACCTCTCCACCTTGCCCACGTTCTTCAGGCTCTGCCGCCCGCTCTCCCGCTCGCCAATCTCGCTCTCTACTTTAATCTCCTGCAACAGCCCACCGAATCTGCCTCCAGACTGCTTCTTGCCAGGCGTCTGCAAATCCCCTCCTCCTGTTGCCGTTGTAGTAGTAGTTGTCGATCCTGATACCGTCTCCGTTGCCCCCTCACCATCCGGTCCCACCGCAGCCAAAGCATCATCCGGGTTCAAGAAGCAGAAATGCACCCTCTTCCGTATATGCGCCAAAACACCCACCCCATCAAACGTCAGCCCCGTGATGTTCAACTTGAGCGGAATCCCCACAAAGCTCGGCATCGGGTAATCCAGCAAAATCTCCGCCGTCAGGTTCAACCTCACGTCGCCCGAGTAGCGGATCCGGAACACGGCCTGCACGTCCTCGACCCGGGGCTCGCGCCGCGGCGACGCCGTGCCTTGATCAGCCTTCTCGTCGTCTTCAACGGCCGAGCCGCTGATAGGGCCATGGCTGGTTGACGGCCGAGACGGAGGGCCGAGAGTGCTCGACACGTCCGACTTGGCCATGCCGGACCCCGATCCCGAGGCCGGATCCAACGCCTGCAGGTTGTCGAGGGAGCTGAGCGATGCCTCACGGCTATGATACGGCGTGGGCTCCGAGCTGGGCGCCGCCGAGCCCATCCAGCCGGTGCCCAGATGAGCGCCCGCAACCGCCGCCAGCGGCGTCTGCGTGCCCGTCGCCAGATGCGCCTGAAAGTAGTTTCTCCCCGGCCCGCCCAAGATCCCCGGCGTCGACGTGCCCAGAAACGCCCTGCCGACGTCGTGCCAGCTCACGTTAACGCTCGGGCTGAAGCCCATCATCTCGCTCTTCAGCCCCCCCAGCCCGTTCTCGCGCCTCCTCGCTCCCATCAGCGCCGCCGCAGCCGCAATCCTCTCCCGCTCAGCAGCGCTCTCATCCTCCTCGCTGTCCTCGTCCGACTCCTCGTCATCCTCCAGCTCCTGCTCGTAAAAATCCGGCAGCGGGTCCGTAATGTCCTTTAATTCCAGCTCCGGCGGGATCGTCCCAAAGTCGAATCCATGCACGTTGACGGACCTGATGAAGCGTGGCAAAGGCACCGTCTGGAATTTGCTGTGGATAAAGGTTCTGATGCTCTCGGCCAGCGCATCGCCGTCCGGCCCCGTGGTCAGCGTCTCCCAGTTGAGATCAATCGACATTGGACAAGAGAAGATGCACAAGTAAGTTGAATTGAGCGATTAAAAGCCGCACAGCAGCTGTTGGTCATTATGGTACAGAGTATTGAAGGAGCTGGATTGTCAAAGGAGTGTTGGAAAGCTTAAGAAGAGCATCGCCGAATGAGTGGGGTTGTTAGTGTCATGAATACTTCACTCAACTTCACCCAATTCTTTCACACCGGCGTCAACACAGAATCACATCACCACTGTAACAAGTATGGACCAGAAAAGATTGAAATCTTGAAATTAAAATATCTCAAGGAAAATTACACAGCTTGAATGAAAACCTTTTGCACTATCGTCTTTCTAAGCCAACTTTAAACTCCGTCATGTAACATTTAGGGTATCTCGCTGCTGCTTCAGTCAAATATCATCCCCCCAACACATGCAAGAATAAGCGTGGACAACTCTTCAACCAATTCTGCAAAAGAAACGCAATGGGGATGGCCTAGATACCAATACGCCAACGCCATGATAAGGTGAATCCGCAAAGGGGCTGTTGCATACATCAACGGAACTGTTCAGTGTAAACTCTGTTCTTCTCTTCCTTCTTGGGTTCCAAGGCCACTCCATCAAGTCTCTTGGTCTTCAAATCGTGCTCGACCATATAGCATGTTATACTGAGGCTTGTTGAACAGGTGCCAGCAGTTGGGAGCTTGCAAGATATATCTGTCGTGTGATTAGCCTGCAGGAACCTCCAAACAACGCAGAGTATGCTACTCGAAAGACATAAAATGAGACTTACCTTGCCATGGCCTCTCTGAATCGAGACTTGTATTCCTTCGGACTGGTCACGGTCGGCCTATTCCGACCGCCGCCCGCAAAACCGCGATCCTTGATCCAACTTTCAAGCTTCTTGTCCCACGTATATGTTCTGATGCAGTCAATGATGCCGACGACTAGTTCTTTTCTTCTCTCGTCAACTGCAATCATCAAAGAGTAGTCCATTACGTTTTGTCGCGCCAGGAACAGCGTATCGTTCCAAACCGACGCCCTCAGGAGCTTCTTGGAATGCTCGCGCGCAAACAGGGGAGATTCATAAATGTACTCCACCATGTTTTCGTCCAAAAGGACCTCGTTCTGCTCGCCGGTCGCATTGATTTTGCGGTTACGCATCGAGCCCTTCAAGTCAAAGATTCTCGTCGGAGATCGGTCGTAGAACAAGTTCTCCGTTACCAGCAGGTCCAACTTGATGTCTGTTCCAGTCACTGGGTTTTTAATGACGACTTGGAAGAATCCCATCATCTTTGCGATTACAGAGGGCAAGTCATGGAACAGTGCCTCGGCCATGATGCTGAAGTATCCTGGCGCAAATCGCAAGAACGCAGATGTCTCGATTGTTGAAAGTGACTGCATGCAAATTTTGGTTAGCGCAACCTGAAACTTCTCGTCCTTCAAAATCCTGCTTCTCCTTACCTTCAAGACAAGTCGATCATCCAGAGTCTTCAAAAAGACAGACTTTGTTTTACCACCCTTTGAATCCCACTGGAGGCACCGTGACAACGACTCCACAATACGCTCAGAAACACCACACTTTCGTCGAAGAGCATCGAATTGCTCTGCGTAGAAAATCTTGCAAGTCATGACCGCGGCACCTTCTTTGAATTGATACTTGAGATGGGTGCCAGTGGATCGGAGCAAACTCTTCTCCAGCTCTGTTTCGTCAGTGGCCCAATCTGCGCTGTCTGATACTGGGGCCGATTTGGGACCAACGTCGAAGTCATCTTCGACATCACCGTCGAAATTTCCATCTACATTGCTCTCCACATTCTCGTCTGCAATTTCATCCGCGATAGTATCCGTGTCTCGGAGCATAGTCTGGTGCGCATCTCGCCGGATGTTGGCCAACTTCTCCTTGTAATCGTCGCTGTTGAGAGCCAGCGCAATAACCGAGCTCGGCTCGTCTTCTCTAACAATAATGTCCGAGTCCACAAAGATGTGGTCAGTGGCGTTGACAGGGTATTCCAACGCAGGCCACCCGCTTGCTGATCGTTCGGCCCAAAAGTTGGTCAGGTACTTCATCAAGCTCATTTTTTCGTGCTTGGGAAGCTCAAGTGGAATTTCCGCGTTGGAGTCGGCCATCTCTTTGATGTCGGGCATAAACTCGTCAGATACTGAGGGCTCAGCGTCACTAGTACCGCCCTCGTCGTCTGAAAGACCTTGGCTCGTGTTCACGTTGGCGGTATCATCATCCCATCGGACTTGACCTTCTGATGGCAGAGGCGGCTCGCTAGGAGTTGGTGGCTCCGTCTGCGACCCTGGCTTGGATGATTCTTCTCGCTTGCCTCCCAGAGGAACCGAGGACGAATCCTGCGACTGGGACTGCGATTCCATGTCCTGTTCTGTGCTTGGCTCGCTTGTTACGGCTGGCTCGTCGAATGCTTCATTGACGTTGTCGTATACTTGCACAATTGCCTGCGTCGATGTCTTGGGGAGCATAGGACGAGGGTTCCGCATGCTGGCCGCACGCTTCTTACGGTCTCGGATGCGCTCCTTCTCAAACTCCCTGCTAAACTCTCTGCTGAGCTGTTCAAAGTGCTTAGCTAGGGTGGTAACCTTTGATTCCTTCTTCTTAGGAACAAGGCGTGGAATACTCGATCCAACCACTTTCCCTCGATTTTTTAGCACGCTTAGGCCGAGTCGCTCAGATAGTTTCTTCTCCGATTTGGTGGATGATTCTGACTGCTGATCTGAATTCTCTGGCACCTTTGCCACTGATTCGGAAGAGCCAGACGACTTGCCAAGAGACTGTAACCTAGACAATGTCCGGGATGGCTGTGATGCGGCTCTAGCCACTGGTGGCGATGTGCTGGTGGTAGACTTTCGTCGAACGCCCTGCTCTGAGACCTGTCTTGGTGTTTCCATATCGGCGGGTCTCTCGTTGGAATCCTGCGATTGCCTTGGGCGGGCAGACTTCTTCAGGGCACTTGCGTCAATCCTTTCGCTGAGGGACCGCCCCGAGACTGAAGAGTTTGTGGGACTTCGAGCCATTCTGGCGGGTGGAGACTGTGATGCTGGCACCACATCTGGCGGAATTGTTGCAGCAGAAGCAGCTTTAGCATCCTCATTGCCAGTAACGGCTTGGGAATCCTGAATCACAACAGGGGCCGTGCTGGCCAAATCCAATGGTTGAACATGCTCAACCTCGTCCTGCGTTACTGTCTGCAATGGACCGTCGCCTTCAACGTCAATCTTTTCTCCAACAAGCTTTGAAGAAGTGGCACTTGCCTCCATGCTGTTTTCAGTGAAATCCGTCGGTTGTGTAGACTTTTCCTCTGCCTCGGAAAACGTCTGAGATGGGCGCTCTTCGCTGTCCCCGGCAGATCCCGTTCCTTCATTGGACCCAAGGGATTCCTTGGACTCGTTGTCGGTGAAAATCTTCTTCAGCTGCAACATTGTGAGTTGTCGCATGTCTTTATCTCCCAAGAAATCTGCCTCAAACGTAGCAAAAACTTGGTCCCATTCACTAGCCGTCTCCAACATTTCTCGAACAATAATGTTAAACGGGACAACCTCATAGTACTTGGAATTGACGTAAATCTCTTGCAAGCGTTGGATCATGAGGGCTTCCTCTTCCTTGGCCTTCTGTTTCAGTCGATCCAATTCTGCTTTGCAAGACTCGGCCTTTTCAGGGAGGACACTATCGATCCTAATGCTTTCGAGCCGGGCTATCACGGAGGCCATGAACTTTGCCCAGCGCTCATCCATCTTTCCGAAAATGTCATTCTTGAGCTTTAGGTCATTGCTCACTTTCCATGTCAGTCGCGCTCGCGGTACGACAATTTCTAGGAGATCGATTGGGTCCCAGTGAATCCGAACACGAGAATCGTTGAGACTGAAGTAACGAACGTGGTCTTTTTGATGGTCGTGGGGGCATTCCATGGCATCCTTCATGCGCAGGCCGCGCCCCCAGTACAAGAGCTCCAGATACTTTCCAAAAGAGTATTTGAAAGTAGTCTCGGACATTGCTATCTCCTCCGAATCCTTCTGGCAGATCTTGCAATAACTCCACATGGAAATCCCATCGCCCAGTTCCGGCGACCTAGGAGGGGCGTTCGGGAGGTGCTCCACAAACACCGTGATTCGGAACTGGTCATGGACAAAAGTACGATGATGCTGAGCCATTTTGCGGTCGCATCCATTGGAGTCGCATATTTCGTCTTTGCTGTTTACCAGGTACTCGATATACTGGCCGAGGGTACAATCTGGATCCATGCTGGCATCTTCGCGCTGCTCATCATAGAAATTGATGCCTACTAAGCTGGGCTCTGTGCAAGGGATTTTGGTTTCGGTGCAGATGACGGAATACAGTATGATTATGTTTTGGTGAGAGTAAGGGTCAAACAGGTCCAAGTTGCCCTGGATATACGTCTCCCACTGACGAGTTTGAGTCTGGTAATTATAAAGAGCCTTGTCGTATTCGGCGTCATGCACCGCGTGGAGAATTTCCATTATTTGACGAGGCGCCTTCTGCCCAAGCTCTTCGACCATTTCGGGCTTGATAAGTTGGAACTTTGGAGGGTCGCTCTTTTCCAAGTCTTCCTCAATCATGTCCTGGTCCCTTAGGCGTTTGAGATAGAACAGGCGCCTTTCTTGCTCGCGAGCTCTCATGAGAAGGTACGGCTGAGTAAATCGCACATATGGCGACACCGAGAGAATCTTGGTTTCATATTTGGCCACCATGTCACTGTAGAATGTCGGCATGGGCACGTCGTCTGGGACCTGACTGAACGTAGAGTCATGGGTATGAGATTCGTGAAGCGATAGCAGCTTAGGTGGTTCAGAAAGCATCTGGTCCAATAGAGGCTGTGACAAAGCTTCGTCTGTGCCTCCGAAGCTTGAGCTATCCATCGTCAACTGCGAGGGCGGCTCACTCTCGCTCGATGGCTGGTTGATTATAACAACGGGGCCGGTTCTGCCACCGCTGTTGGTCGTGTGACAAACCGAGTTCAGTGACCGGATGCTTTCATTCAATGCTTGGAAGGAATTGGACATCGAAGCCGGGTCATTGGCCTCGGGAGGCTCGACTGACTCATCCCGCAAAAGACTGGATTCAAGTTTGAGATTGTAAACAACGTAGACCATGAAGTCGGTGATGTATTTCATTTTAGCGAGAAGAGCGTCGCTCGCTCCTCGAAGTGTAATGGTGCAGCCGAGCTCGGGTCGACATCCAGAAAGAAAGATGTAAGACTTCTTTCGGCCTGGGTAGTCATTGTTCACAAAGGTCCTGACCTCAAAGGCGCTGCACCTACCGACTTGAGCTTCCAACATGTCAAGAGACTCAATGATTTTAGTCTCAGTACACCGGGCGACGGCGGCAATCACTGATCGCTTGACGTTGAAGGCTACCGAAATATTGGCTTCGGAGAGATACTGCAAAGCCAAGCCAGAAATAGTCTTCTCGGCAAGCAGAACTTGAGGTTTAAGCTGCGCGATCCTGTTGACGACGATTCTTAGAAATTCTTTCTCCTGGGCAATGACCGGCTCCAAGCTCATAAATTGCTGCTGGTGTCGCTGGTATTCAATCGGAAACCCGACAAGAAGAATCCTAGGATTGGTTATCTTGCGTGGCATACTCTTTAGTGCAAGATTCTTGGTGAAGACTATGCCGGAGATGTAGGATGTGTCGCCAGGCTTTCCTCCCGGGATTCTCTTGAGCTTCACATAAGTCCGAATGTCCATGGATTCGCCATTTGCAACGTCAGGGGATACATCATCGGTAGCTTTTAAAAGGATGGGGACTAGCGCTTTTTGCCATGCCTCGGGATTAGGTATATCGGCATCACGCAGGAGTTGATAGAGGAGCTTGTCGACATGCTTCAAGCTGGATTCATTTAGCTTGGTTTTGGCCGCCTTGCGTTTCTGTAGGGAGTTGCTTCTCGTCAGCTGGGTCCCGCTGTGGTTTGGGTGAATGGAGTTATCCACGGGAAACAGCAGCTCTGACGATGCCGACGGTCCCTTGTAAACGGATTTGGGGCGTGGGGATCCGAAATGATGAACGCTCCCGCTGACATTGCTGAGGTTGCGGCGTCGGTTTGTCCTACGATGGCTAGCAAAGCTGGGTGCCATTTCATCGAGCCCAAATCCGCTTCGGCTAAAGTGACTCATTCCGCTGACGCTCTTTTCGCCTCCTCTATGGCGGTGGTGTTGGTGCTTCTTGGTTGTGTTCATGAGTGACGAAAGGTTTGACTTGTCAGGGTCGAAGCTCGTGGAAGGTATCTCAGCCGACGCGAGGGTCGCAAAAATACTGCCGACCTGCTCGTCTCCGCTGGAGTCATCCGACATGAAATCTGCCAACTCCGGATCGATGATATTGTCATCATGGAAAGCCGGGAACTTTGTTCGTTTGGCATTTTCTTCCTGGATACCCTTTCGAAACGGAGCCTGATCCGGCTTGATTCTCCCTAACAATCCATGCTTTGAGTGAAGCCTCTTATGGCCGGCAGACGACTGCGGTCGACCAGAGGAAAGAGACTTGAGGGAGCGAGATGAGCTTGGTCGGCTCAGCTGCGGAGCACCAATCTCCAGAACAGATGAATTATTGTTAGACTCTTTGACTCGACGGGCGGCCTGTATCGTCATCATTGGTGTATTTACTGGCCTTGAGGTCTCCGAGCCCTCGATCAATTCTGGTTCTTTGTGGTGCTGGTGCTGGTGCTGGTGCTGTGCAAAGGCTACCGTTGACTTCCTAGGATCCTCCGTGCCAAATATTCTCGGTAGAAAAGACTGCTCGTCTCCGGAATCCTCAGAGGCACTTGCATCAAATCGTCGAGTGATGACATCAAGGCAGCGTTTACAAACCCTAAGAGAGCCGGGAAGGCCAAATTTGTCACCTGGAATGACAATGGTACACTTGGAATCGAAGATGAAGCCGCACGTTCGGCAGTGATGCTTCCTGCGGAACGCCGTGAATTGAGATTGACAAAGAAAACACTCTTTTACGGTTTCGTCCTTCATCCAAAACTCCTTGCTTAATATCTGCCTGCGCATTCTGTCTAGCTGAGCATTCATCTGGTCTGAGGCCCCTTGGTGGCTCGCTGTGGTGCCGGGGATGCGGACATCACCAGATCGCGAGCGCTGAGGGTTAGATTCTCGAGAAAAAGAATTATGATGCACTTCATTGTGAGCAGATGTGCTGATAGGGCTGGCTTCAGCCGTCCCGCGGTCAATAGATGACTCCCTTGAAGCGTATCTAAGGTGGTTTGAATGGCTAATACGATCAATGACGGCGGGCTTTCGCCGGATATCATCGGGAGACAGCAGAGACGATGCGGCAGAGGGACTTCGCGAGTGAAGTGTTTGCAGTGGCGGCATCAGGGGAGCTTTTCCTTTGACTGGACTTAATGGGGCGTCGCCGCTTGCCCCTCCAACGCTGGAAACACTCTCGTCTCCTTGCGACCCCGAAGGAATACTGCCTTCTGGTGAATCGACGGGCGAGAGGCGGGTCTGAAAGCCTGGCCTGCCGGTGCTTCCTCGACGCGAACTCTGGACCGCGCTGTCTTCAGTGTGAGCAGAGCTACGGCTTGGCTCTCGTTTCCTCGCGGAGGTGATGGTGGGCTCGGCGGCTGTCACATCGCTTGTGGCGTTTGTCGGAAGGCTCTGCCGGCCAGATGGATGGGATTTGGAGCTGCCAATCAAGCTGATGCTTCCAGACTTGGATGTAGCGGGCATTTGCGGCCGGCCATCCGTAGGAGGGATAGAAGATGTGGGAGAAGAAACATCAGGTGGTGCCGGTTGAGACGATGTGCTGGATATAGTCGCCCCTGTCTCGGCGCGGTTCAAGGAAGATATAGAGGGCTTCGACCGATGTCCCTCACCACCCGTAGATGCCTTTCTAGTTAGATTTTCCGGCTTACCTGCGTCGTCCTCTCGCTGCGCCGCCTTGGACGAGCTGGCCGCACCAACCGCCACTCGAAGTCGGCTGTAGAGACCGCTTAGACCTTGCTGTACTGTTCCGCGGCTCTCTGTATCTGGGACGATTACCGGAGGAGGGGCAAAAGATTCGTTGAAAAGAGTGAGTGAGTCGGTTCGGCTGGCCGCGGTATGTATCTGGTCGAGGGCCTGCGCCATCTGTTCCTTTTCGAAGGTGGAGCTCACAGAGACAGAGTTGATGGAGTCACGGCGGTCTCGCGAGTGTGTAGGGGAGATGAGGGAGCCGGAGAAGGAGGAGCCGTCGAGGGGCTTCGAGATGGAGATATTGGTCGCCATGGTGGGAATATGGCCGACAAGACGAGAGCTGCGCAAGTCGCCTACGCCAGATGCGATCCGGATGCCTTGCTCTATGCTCTATGCTCTATGCTATATGCGGTGCAACGGCACGGGCATGGAAGGGAGGAGGGCACGTATGTAAACACCAGGCCGTCGCTCAGGCGTCTATTTCCAAGCGAAGGCGCATCCGGAACGTTGCGGGCATGGTGGTGTAGGAGGAACAATGAAGAGAAGCTGTCGAGGTCTCGAGGGCAGCGCTTCGGAAGGCTTGGGGCAACAGCTTGTGAGCTTGCTTTGTCACAACCCGAAGCGTTTGTGATGCAGGCCGCGGGGAGCTGCTGATGCCGCCGCCGTACCTACGTCAGTGCGGGATGTGCAAGTACTCTGCGTGCTATCGGGCGCCGGGAGGTACAAGCACAGCACAGGCACAAGCAGGACAGCTGTATGTAGGCAGGCTGCAGGTGGGACTATGCGAGGCAGAAAGCAGAGGCTCAAGATGCGGTGCGTGCAGGTGAAATGCAGGCAGAAGCAGTTGGCGAGGGGCTCCAGATGTCGTCAGTGGTTGGGAGGCAACGAGGCGCCCGATTTGGCAGATGCCCGACGAAGTTGCTAGTCCCGCCTATTCGAGATTAGAGAGCAGAGCAGAGCAACCAGACCAGACCAGACCAGACGATATTTTGCCCGTCGATTACCTTGGTAGGCACTTGATAATGTCACTGCTAAAGCCTTATAGTACCTGTAAGCACCTCTTGGAAGCTCGTTATCATCCTCGTGCTCTCCCCGTCGACAAGGTAGGTACTAATGTAGGTACCTGCCGCTACCTGATACCCATCCTCGGCCAGGTACCCAGTTACTTTCGCCGGCACGGGCAGCAGAGGCGGTGGCGGCGGTGTCGCGGTCTGGAACGCTTGTACCAGAGTACTTGTCATGCAACAGGCCTGCGCTAAGGCCGCCCGTACATCCCCCGTACATTTAGTGCGAGTGCCCTGTTCCCGTGCTCTGTATCTTCCAATCCAGCACCCTGCGAACCCCCACTCGCAAGACGCGATCTGAATCCTCAACTCCAGAAAAAATTCCTGGACCGCGTTTTGCGACGTCCCGCTCGCTTGCATGGTGTTTGACATTCGAGTCATGGGATCGGAAGCCCTGTCAGCGCCCAACGAACTGCCTCGGACTGCCTGACGAATCTGCCATTGTTGAGCTTCGTTTTGGCGGGACTCGGCACTGCTCAACGGTCAACCAGCTCTTCTCTGTTGCTGACGAGGTGCAAGTGCACCGTCGTCGCAAGAGAATGAATCCCGACCAGCCGCCGGATTCATCGTCAATGTCTCTCACGACCTCGCCAACCCACGATGTCGCCAAGCTGATGGGCCGCCGGAGCCTGAGCAACATCCCCAAGGACCAGAGGTCTCTGCTGGAGCTGGAAAACCCGTGGGCTGTTGACCAAAGAGATGGGCCGCACGGATTGGCAACTGTCCCGAGCCAGGTTTTAAAAACGCTGAAAGAAGCCTTTATCCGCCTCCAGGAAGACAATGACAAGGAGAACCCTAAAGACAAGGAAAACCCTGACCCTCCTCCCACCACCAATGACCGTGACGGGCAGAATGGATATTCTCCCAGCTCGACACCAGAGACATCGGACAGTGAACCTCCGTCTTCGCCGGGAGTTCCGATACCATGGTCGCAGTCTCAGGTGGAATTTAGAGCAGAGCAGGACGATGAGATGTCCGATGCCGGTTCTCCCATTGACGAGACACCCTCAAGTCCGGCACCTGCACCACTGACCCAGCCGCCGCTCTTCCATGGTACACCGAGTCCTAGCCCTTCTTCAAGTGCCAGCGAGCCCGAGGATCTCGAGATGGAGCTCCCACAAGCTCAAGAAACCCACGAAGTCCCAATTAACCGCGAGGCCCCAGTTAACCCCGTAGCTACACGGATGCATCTGACAGCGGCATCTCAGGAGCCCGCAAGCTTGTTCACAAGCATGGTCACCACTACGGATACGCCTCCGTGCGCGCAGCCGCGGGTTGCTTCTACTGCTTGTACTTCGTCTGAAGATCCAAAGTCGTCGGTGTTGCCAGTTGATCCAGCCCACGGTCGGTCGCGACGGATGAAGCCGATTGAATTTAGTGAGGATAGCCCCAAAGTCACTGTGCGTTCGACGAACCCGGGTCCTCCCGCGCGCATGCCTTCCACGCGAGGATTTCCTGAGGAAAATGTCCCGATTTCGGCTTCTCTAAGCTCGAGTAACTCAACCCCTTACCATAGCGGTAGACCGCAAAAATCGCCATCTCCGCCGCCTCCTACTCCGCCGCCGCACAACTTCGCCGCCAAACATACCACCCCTCAGAATAGGACGAATAGGCAACTTGATGGTGTCAACGGTCGCGATACCTCCTCTCACCGGCAGGACCCCGTGTACCAGCTGCATCGGGTACAGGCGGCAGGGATGAATTCGTTCATAAGTTATCACGGGGAACCCTATAGCGCTTTTACCGCTACGTACCCCGAGTACACCACAATTCACTCGGGGAATTTGTTGTCCTTCATTCAGGCTTGCGTCTATCTAGAGATGTTTCAACAAGAGAGGGTAATACGCGAGTATTTGTATGATGATTTCATCCGGGCCTGGTCAAACGGCTTCTTGACTTATGCCCGGAACGCGGGCCCTGGCCAGGAACCACTTCCCGCTCTCCAATGGTACAATATGCTAAAGGGCCCTATCCTCTTCAACCGCATGTGCATAAATTCAGGCAACATCGGCGCTGTTCTTAACATATATCCCGAGGATGCTGCAAGGGTGAGGGCCATACTTGATGCCTCTAAAGCGGCAAGTGAGAGCCCAGCATCAGAACCACAGCCAGAGCAAGAGGTAGAGATGGAGCTGGAGGAAGAACCGGAACAAGAGCCAGAGCCTGAGCCAGAGCCTGAGCCAGAGCCAGAGCCTGAGCCTGAGCCTGAACCTGAGCCTGAACCTCAACCCCAGCCTCAGCTCGAGCCTCGACGTGAACGTAAAAGGCGTGTCGTGGATGTGATGGACAGCGACAATGCAATGGATATCACCGTGGCAGAAGAGAGCCGAGCCGAACCACAGCTCCCCCCGCCCACGAGAAAACCACCATCCTTGCCAGCACCATCACGACCGGCCCCGCCACCGCCACCGCCCCCTCGGCCTTTGTCCCCTGAGCTGGGGAGCGATGACTTTGACTTTCCTCCCCTTCCAGTCGTACTGCAATCGACATCAGGAAAACAGTCACGATCTCGGCCACGACCACACACACATGAGCCTCAACCTCAATCTAGACGACGGCCAGAGCCACAGCCAGAGCGACAACAGCACCCGCAACAACAACCGCAACCGCAATTACAACCACACAGAGAGCTAACATTACCTCAACGACATTCCCCCAGACGTCACCATCCCGCGCCGGTGCCCATCCCCCCCATCCCCATCCCAATCCCAATCCCTCCTTCCACAGCTCCCGCTTCATCAACAAACAGGCCTCCACCCAAGTCCACCAACCCCAGATCCTCCCCCCGCCCAGCCGACCACAGAGGCCGCTCCGTGCCCAGCTCAAGTAGCCGGGCGATCCCGAAGCTGCGTAAGCGATCGACCGAGGAGCGGGCGCGGCTGAAGGAGCATTTCCGGAAGAAGGCCTCGTCCTCGACGACGAGGTTTATTATTAGTGAAAGCGAAAACTAATTAGTGAATCGGGAGCAAAAGATGGGAATTACGGGCGCGAGGAGGAGTGACTTGGTTAATGATGTAAACGTATATTATGCAAGCATTGGGTCACAAAAACATAATGACAAAGGCAAGGTTGGATAACCGGAGCGATATATTGGGCGTTTTGTTATTACCATTTGAAGTTACCTGGGAATATGCCTCTAATGATGAAATGATACCCTGAAATTATCACTAAGAATGGACACGAGAAAAGAAGCGGTTATGTCTATCTTTGTTTCCTTGTATTGATTTCCATAAAGGAATCTGGTCTGGTCTATTTTGGCGTTATGCATGGGTAACATGTTCAGAAACTGATGATAAAGGAAAATGAAACAAAACATGGGGAACATATCGCGTATCTGCTGGTAAGACAATACCCCGATGAAACCCGTCCACTTTCACTAAAAGAAGGCCGTGATGGAGAAAAGTAGAAGAAGAGAAGTGGGAAAAATAATAATAAAGTGAGAGAAACAAATAACCGACTCCCTGAGGAGTACTAGCGAACCATCTAATCCGTCTCGTTCCAGAAAGGTAATAAATAAATATTTTAAAACCACAGCGATATTTTAACGCCAGTAATTCAAGTTTTTTTTTCTGTAGTCGTTTTTTTTCTTGTAGTCTCTGAAAAGCCGAATGCAAATTGTGTATGGTAAAGCAAATGACATGGCCACCAATAGCCCTGTAATAGAGATTTTCATCTTTTTTTGATCCGTTTGCTGACTGATGCCTGGCGTCTGAAAATCGAAACGGCGGATGATGGAGGAAGCAAAGAAAATGGGTTAGATAAGTGTTTTCATGGCGCGTCGTGCAAGCATTAAAATCGTTGCGTTGATACAACGCGGTAGGGGGTGGTAGTGTCCACCAGGGACCATTGCGATATCTGGCCTTGGCGGGGGCAGTCGTAGAGTCGTCGATGCGAGCGAACCAAACACCTGTGAGAAGTTTGATTCGAAATCCACAACTCCCAGCGCTTGCATCTAAGCTTGTGTCGGCTCAGTCTTGGGACTCAGCCTTTTCGCTAGTAGCTGAGCGCTCCTCCTTGGCTGCCTCCTTGGCTGCTGCCTCGGCGGCCTTCTTCTTCTGCTGACGCTTTTCCTCGTCGGGGGTCAGGGTCCTCAGCTGGAGAGCGTGGATGCCTCCTTCTATGGCCATTTCATCCCGCAGCAGAGCGTAGATCATTCGATGCCTTGCAGGCTGCATCTTGGTGGCGAACATGTCGGAGATGATGACAAGACTGGAATCGGCGTTAGCAAGGCCAGGAACAACAGAATGCGACTTGGTGCCAGTGCATGGACACATACCGAAAGTGCGTTTCCTTGGAAGTGACGCCCGCCATGGCCTTGTGGTGAGAGTGGAGGTGCGAGTCATTGTAAATCTCCAGCGTGATTGGGCTGAGAGCCGCAGTCAGCTATAGCAGTGGTGTTAGCATGCGAAATGAACCAAGTGCGTGCTGAAAAAAAAAAAAAAAAAAAAAAAAAAAAAACCACCAACCTTGGCACGGATCGCGTCTTCCAGAGGAGTTGCGGATGATGAGCTCATGGTGGAAAGTTGACGGCTCACGTTGGAGAAGCCGAGAGCGTATCGCCGATACATGATTCTGGAAGGAAGAGAAGAAGAAAAAAATGGAAGATTGTCGTTGTTAGTGGAGCTGGTTGCGGCTCTGCTGGCGGTCCCTGTGCGCCAGACGGAAATCACGAGACTTGGTGTGAGGTTGGCTGGTAAGAGGCGGTCGCGGGTTATGAACCGGCAGAATCGAGATTTTTTTTTTGACAGTGGGCGAATCAAGCAACAGCCGGATGACGGAGGCAAAAGGCGGAAGAGAATTGGCGTGTAAAAAAAGAGGCAAAGGAGGCGTGAGAGTGAGAGAGAGTGAGACGAGAGACGAGAGATGAGAGAGAAGAGAATAAGGCGTCTTGAGCCGGGCTGGCAGACGGAAAAGAGCAGCGGCCGGCAACTATTAAATCATGGCAAACAAAGTGAAATTCGGTGAAGTCGGTGAGAACCAGTGCGCCATGCATGACTCCTCAGAGTGGCGGCGATCCAATCACGACGTCGACAGGCCCCCAGGAACCATGGAGCGGTGACGAGGGAAAAAAGCGGCGGGTTCCTGGACGCTGGGCGTGGTTCCAGCTTTGCATATTCCAAGTTGCAAGTGGTTGCACCAGCCAGGGGGGCCGAGAAAGGGGCATCGCAGGAAGGATTCCCACACGCCCCAGCACACGGCCGAATGGGTGCATGGGGGGGAGGAGGAGACCTTTGTTGTCTCTTTCTTTTCTTCTTTTTTCTCTGGTTGCCTCTTTTTTTTTTGTTCTGTCTTATTCTGCCGTTGTCTTGATGTACTGTACGACGTGTTATTCGGTGATACTATCCATACTCGACTTGACTTGGACTGGTTCTAAAATTGGAACCGTCGATGAGATGGTGCGAGGCTAGTTGCGCCACTGCTGCTTGACCGTTGATGCTGTTGTGGAGGACACAAATGCTGCTGCTTGCATTTTGCAGTTCTTGGTCCCAAGTGGTCGACCAAACGACAGGTGCTTGGAGGCAACGCACGGCTAGAAGCAGGGAGCTGTACGAGGTACGGAGCCGTGACAGATCCAATGTAATGTAATGTAATGTAATGTAGCAGCAGGCGGGAGTCAGGAGTCGGCACAAAGCACCAATGCCTAATCCCGCCATCGTCATATCACCAGCCCGTCTCGTCGACAAGACAGGGAGACGGCGTTGATCCAGGCATGCCCTCTCTCTACCGTCCTTTGATAGCTCGTGCTCGCAATACTCGGCAAAATGAAACCAAAGTGCGCTTAAGCCCACCAAGGCAGATGCTAGTACGCCGTAAACGCCCGACTACCACGAATGGCTTCCGTCACTCATTTCGTCGTCTCTCCTTTTGCCTGCCTGCCTGCCTCTTCACCTCCTCTTCCTCGTGCTCTCTAGTCCGGGCACCTGTAAGACTTCCTTCAGCCGTCCATGGCCAGTGTCGGCAAGGGGCCTCTGCAGGGCTGCTTGCTTGCTGCTGCGTGTCCTCGCCCGGCAATTGGGCCAGTCCGGGTGCCACGCACCACCCACCTGGTCGGGATGGGAGACCGCCCTTTTTAGCTCGTGTCCACCGTCTCGATCGAGTCGTTGATGTGATGATGTAGCATCTGGTCAACAGGCAGTACAGAGTGCTAGTACAAGTACTAAGGCAGTAGTGCCTGTGCTTTGTATGCGAGCCCGTCAAGGGGGGCCCTTCTGGCGGTGCAACCACGCGAGCGCGGTGGAGAGGCGGCATGGAGGAGATGTTGGGGGAGAGAGGAGATGGATCAAAATTGCCATGGATGCTCATGCTCATGCTCATGCTCATGCTCATGCTCATAAGCTCGGGCATGCTCAGGAGGTACCTGCAAGTACCTCACCTGTTGCTGCAGCAGCCTCACTTTGGGAGGAGCACCTACATGTACCCGAACCCGTGCCAACCTGCAAGGCAGTTGAGGGCGGTGTTACAGGTCATCTTGTGTTCTGCCAGCCATGGGATGGAATGGATCAATGGAATGGGGAATTGCAGGTACCTGGCAGTACTGTGCAGTACAGTACTCGTACCTGGTAGGGAGTAAGTAATACGCCGGTCCGTCTGCAGCTAAATGGATCAAATCGGATGGATGTCATGTCTGTGCATGTGAAGAAGCAATTTTTTTTCTCTCTCTGTGCTCTCTTCAGTGTTCTCCCTTACATGTGCCAACGGGACGAGTTTTGCTTGTCGGAGAGAAAGAGAGTGAGATCCAATACCTAATACAACTCCCGTCTTCTACAGTGTCTCAGGCCATCTCATCTCATCTTCATGTAACCCAACCCCCCGTGTCACTTTGCACACACACCGTGATTCCAGATCATCGAACTCAACTCCCTCATCCCGCTCGCTCGCCGCCAGTCTCCAGCCGGCCGGGTCGCTAAACTACCTAAACCCATCGCCGAACCTAACGTGACTGACAGCAGATCTTCTGGCAAAAGTCGGGATGCTGGTTGGCCCATGCTTTCTCACGCCTCCTCTTTTCAGTGACCGCCCTATTGCCTTGCAACACCCCTGCACTCAACCAGAAAGTGGCGGTCCCCGCTCACTCTCTGCACCTTTTCTCTCTCTCTCTCTCTCTCTCTCGGGCTGTCTGCCCGTCTTTTCTCTGGCCCGGGTATGGGGGACGGGGGCCAAGGAGCAAAAAGGCCTCTGCTTATTTCCTCTCCGCCTTTTTGTGATGTTTATCCCGCCTATTTGCTTCCTTTTTTTTCTTTTTCTTTTTTCATCTCGTCCCTGCTAGCCTGCTGCCACTAACACGGTTGAGGTCAGGAAGAGCGCGGCCATTTGACCAAATCGCAATCGTCTGATCCCGTGGCTTTGTGCAACACACACAAAAGCCGGCGTTGTGTTGTGCAACCCCTACTTGAAGATTTGCGTTGACCTTGACCGCAAAGTGCATGTACATGTAGACATGAGCACATGTAGACGGATTTATTTGATTGATTGATGCCATTGGACTGGACTGGACCTGAACATGGCCAGTCGGAGCGTTGACGTGAATCCATCAAATGGAGCACGTCTCAAGTCAATTGCTGTTTAGCGGACTCGGCCTGCTGAAACAGCGCTATAAACGCACAGCGCTTGACAGCAGCCAGCACTCGCCACTCACTAGAACCCCCCCGGCCAACGGCGCCCAGGGCCCGATCTTCCGGCGGCTGGTCCAGCATGCGGCCCAGAACCTGTGCCGACCCGGATGGGAGCCCCGGCCGCTACATCTGGCTCCCTAGTCAGCGCTGGCTAATCGCGAGTCGAGCCGTCAAAACTCGAGCTGATTTTGATCCTTCTGCCTCGTGCAAACCCTTGGCCTGCCTTGGAGCAACGCTCCTTTCACCACCAACCACCGGCATCGCATCAGCACTGGCCCGATCGCTGGTTCGTTCCGGACGCTGCTTGACTCGCACGCGCAGCACGACAAGGCCGGAAACGAGGCCGCAGAACGCAACGCATGCCAACCCCCCTGTCTCGAAACTCAACGCTCTACCCCTCTTGCTCTGCTTGTCTTTGCCTCTCTCTCTCAGTCTCTCTCAGTCTCTCTCAGTCTCGATCTCTCTAGTCTCTAGTCACAGTCACAGTCACAGTGTACTGCAGTCAGTGTTGGATCCATTGATTCCATCAATGCCACTGTCAACTAACCGGCAGATAGATACACCAAAGCATCGCATCACCGAGTGCCCTGACTGACTGACTGACTGACTGACTGAACTGCTTATCCACCTGCCTTGCCTGGTCCGGCTATCCATCCCCTCCCCTCCCCTCCCCTCCCCCCTCATCTCATCCCATCCCATCCCATCCCCCATCACATCAATGATCGTCTCGGCCTCACCAGCCCTGCGGCGTCTCGCCTTGGCCTCCCGCCTTCGCTCGCATGGCCCCTCTTCTCTGCTTCCATGCCGTCGCTGCGGGGCCACGCCTGCATCCTCTTCCCACTCCCTCCTGTCTGCCTCGCTCTTCTCTCTCTCCTCCTCAGCTGCAGCAGCCACTAGCATCAGCGTCAGGATGGCGTCGACGTCGACGTCTGCCGCCTTGCCTCGTCTGGCCATCTTCGAAGCCGTGGCTCGGCACGATCCCGATGCCCTCGCCGTGGTCCACTCCTTGTCTGGCCGCCGTTTCACCTACGGCCAGCTGCTGGGCGACGTGCGCCGAGCGAGGGCCCGGCTGCTCGATGCTCGCGGCAAAAGCGCTGGCGACGACCTGGACGGCGAGAGGGTGGCCCTTTTGGTAGAAAATAGCTACGACTACGTAGGTGAGCAAGCGAGCCCTTTAAAATACACACATTGTTTGTTCTTGGCGTGTGTTGTTCATGCATCTATCTGCCATGTCTGCGTATACGACCACAGCTCGCTGATACCATGTTCCCCGCGTCCTCTTCCGCGGGAGACATCAAACAGTCACCCTCCTGGCCATTCTGGCCGCACGCTCAATAGCCGTCCCTCTGTCTCCTGCCTTTCCCACCCCCGAGCTAGAGTATGTCCTGAACCACAGCGAGGCCTCGTTGCTCGTCTCCTCGCCCAAGTTTGCCTCCAAGGCCCAGCAGGTCTTGGCTGCAGACTTAACCTCCAAGCCATCCCACGTGGAGCTGCCCAAGCATGCCGAAAGTGCGGCTGCAACGGGGGAGACTGTTCCCTTGGAAGACGGTGCCAATCCGGGACAAGCAGGCCTCATGCTCTACACGTCGGGGACGACTAACAAGCCGGTAAGAACCCGCCTGGGCACAACTCTCCATGCTGTTCTTCGTTCTAAAGAATCTTTCTCCAGAAAGGCGTCTTGCTCCCCCAGTCTGTCTTAACCGCCCAGGCCCGCTCTCTCCATGAGGCTTGGGAATACTCTCCCGCGGATCACCTCCTCCATCTTCTCCCCCTCCACCACATCCATGGCGTCGTCAACGCCATCTTGACGCCCCTGCTCGCCGGGTCATCCATCGAGTTCATGTTCCCCTTCAACGCCGATGCCGTCTGGAACCGCCTTGCCGCCCCGTACCTCCCCCCCTCCGAGACTACCAACGGCAACGGCAACGGCAACGGCAACGGCCTCACCACCAACG